TTGCAAAAGACAGTTAGCCAGATCTTATGGTTATTATGAATCAAGGCTAGCTATTACAATAATCAGTGCTATCATTTTATTCAGTTTCATTATATCGAGTTCCATAACTAAAATTTTCATCTTCCATATCCTATCCCATTCAACTGGGATAAGTATGACATGTCTCAAATGAGAACAGATTTAAAATTATGTCCCTTTATGGGTTTGCACAATTTTTTTGCTGTGGTAAAATTGTGTGTTGCTCCTTGTTTATATCAGTATGACAAAACTGACATCAGTTACATGGCAGATGAGAGATATATATAATACAAGGAAGTGAGAAAATGTTTTAGGGATACACATGAGATAAATTGAAGGAATAGAATTGATCTTTGATGCCATTTAACACTAAGTATGTCTCATTCAGAAACAAATGCAATTTCTCAGAAAACTATACGTGTGCAGTATTCATTTTCCTCAGGCTAATAAAGAATCAGCAGTAATCTGAAAGCTTTGAAAACTTTTCACATCAAAAAAACCCTTCAAAGCCCAAACTCACTATTTTTATGTGTGAACACCTATATGTGTTGCAAACACATAATGCACAGTGAAAAGCAGAAAAAGCTACTGAATGGCACTTCAAAAATTCATTTGAGAATCTTAATAAGGGAAAATAAATTTATTTGCCACAAAGCCCTTAAAATAAGAGTTTAAATTGAAGTCCTGAAAAACAATTAACAGCAGAATTGATCATGAAAACTACCAGAATATGCATTAATGAGTATGAGCAAATCTTTAATGTATAATGATCATTTTGGTATTCTTTTCTTCACAGGTATCTTAATAGAAAATTACTAAAGGGAAAAATTCTACTAATATTCATGAGAAAATTGAATAAACACCTTACTTTTGGAAGAAATGCAACAAAACCAGAATAGAATAGAAAAGAAATTAAGTAATAATTACTCTTCCAGATATGGGTGTGGATGGTGATAGGAGTTTTTGTTGTTTTATTTTTTCTTCCTCTATGTTTTTTTTCCATGATATTAGAGAAGAAACGATAGCAACTATTATAACCTGAAGGTCTTTATTTCCTCTGACAGAGAACATCTCTGTGGATATGTGAAACAGAGTGGGAAAATAAAGCAAGCAAAGAATAAAAGTTATGAAAATTAATTAATGAGTTCATGACTTTATGGTATCTTAGGGAATTTACTTAGCTGCATAAATTAGTGGAAATTCCAATAATATTCTCAAATGTTCTCTTAACGGGAACTTTGTATACCATTATATACACTCTCATAGCAAACACAGTGAACTGCTTACCACATGCACCTGACAGATGGTATTTTGAAAATAAAGCAAGTGAAGCTGAACCCATCAGTTTGGGGTGTTGGCTTGCTTTTGGTTGTTTTGGGTTTTTTTTCTATTTTGTTTGTTTGGTTTGGTTTAAATGTTTTTTTATGTCTTTCAGTCACACAAAACGTCCCCCAGAAAGCAAAGTGAAAACTGGAGGAAAATGCTGCAAATCCCAAATGTTTTTTATTTCTTTTTAGATTTGCAATGAAAAATGTGTCACAAGTCTGGCATATCCTGTTTTTGAATGATGTTTACTTTCTTGGTCATGAAATATAGTTAGCGCTCCAAAGATGTAACTCTTATACAGAGTAGGAGGAAATAATCAAGACGGAGGGGTTTGAAGTGATGGAATCATAAAGAACCCAAGTTGGAAGAGAGCTTTAAATATCCTCTGGTCCAACATTTCCTGGCAAAGGGAGATGAAATGAGATTATCTAGCACCCTATCTGCAACACGTGTTTGGTTTCCCACACCTATCCAGTCACATCTTGAAAATTTCCAGTGATGTGGACTCCCATCATATCCCTGGGTGGGTTGTTCCAGTGAATGCTTGTTCTTATTACCAAAAAAATTCTTTCTTATGTTGTGATAAAACCTCTCCCAGTGCAACTTGTACTCATTGCCCCTTGTCCTCTCCATGTGACTCCATGCGAAGAGAGACCCTCTATTCTCTTTATAGACACCCTTTAACTACTGGAATACTGTGATGAGGTCCCCCCAAGCCTTCTCTTCTTCAGGGGCTAACACCTTCAGCCTTTCCTCACAGACAGGTTTTTCAGCCCTTTGATTATCTTTAAGGCCCTCCTTTGGACCCTCTCCCATCTGTCTGCAGTCTTTCTGAAATGGTGGGGAGAAGAATAGACACATTACTTCATGTGCAGCCTGACAAGCACTGAGTAGAGTGGGATGATCACATCTCTACTGCTGTTAGTAATGTTTTTTGCAGATGTAGCCCAAAATCCAATTTGCCTTCACTGCTGCAGCTGCACACTCTGACTCATGGTCAGCTTGTTGTCCACCGGGACTCTCAGGTTCCTTTCAGTGATGATGTTCCCCAGCCACACAGATCTGTTCTGGGTTCTTTGGTTATGTTTTCCCAGGTGCAGAACCTTACATTTGTCTTTGTTACAAACTCATAGAGTTCTGGCTCACCCACTCTTCCAACCTGGCTAGGTCTCTCTGTAAGATGGCTTTTCCTTTTCACATGTCCACCTCACTATCAGTCTGGTGTCATCAGCAGACTTGTGAGGCTGATTTCAATCGCATCATTAATCAGATCATTTATGAAGATATTCAATGTCATGGGGTGCAGTATTGATCCATAGGGATCCCTGCCAGCCTGAGTGAAAAAGCATTGATCATCACCCTTTTAGTGCAGCCTGTTAGCCAATTCTCTACCCATCTTACAGATCACCCACCCAACCTGTATCTTGCCATTTTGTTCAGGAAAAGGCTGTGGGGAATGGTGTTAAATACACCATTTTGCTGAAGTTCAGGTAAGCAACATCCACTATCCCCCCCTTTTCAACAGAAGGTGTCGAAGAAAGTCAAAAGAAAAGAAGAAACTAAAAGGAAGTCTGAGAGGTTTATGACAATGGGAGGAAGTAGTTTAAGAGGATGAGAATTTTAAATGACTTTAAATTTTCTGGAGCGAAACAGGGACATTAATGCAAGAGGTACAGATGATTTACAATGACCTGTTGAAGTTGTGTGTGTGTTTGTAACGTCTATGCACAGTTGCAGAAGCTGCTGTCTGATCTTAGTCACAGGCTTCACATGTTGAATTGCTTCTCTGCACATGAAACAGAGTTTGACCTTTCTGGTGATGCATTCTGCTTCCATTCTGCCATAAAGCAACTGCCATAAAGCCATTCTTGATTAAGAACCAAGCCATATATTGTAATTAAATGCAACTAGAAAAATATTTCCTTGAACATGGTCTTAATCACTGCAGACTGTCTGGTTGCACTTTTGACAGAAACCAATCTTTTCCAGCTCAGTTTTTATTCCTCATCTGGTTAGTCCTGTTTATCATCAAAAATGTGGTAGGATAGGGAAATTAGTCCCTTTGGGGCATGTTCAAAAAAGTCTGCTACTTCCTGAATGTATTATGAACTTCCAGAAGAATCAAAAACTACTCTAACAAAAATTTTATAAACATGTATTATACCATCTAATCCTAGAAAACATAAAACAAATTTCAAGTATGCCTGGTCCTTACATAACACTGAGGGAAATGGGGAGGGGACAATGAAGGCAGAATATAACCTTAAACAGTACCAGATTTGGACTCCTGCTAACTATACAGAAGTCAAATTGCAATCACCAATTTAATAAGTGTGAAGTTTTGCATACAACCTATATTGTAAATTCTGATGTTCTTATCATGAATCATACAATGAAATACAATAGAAGGCTCAATTTAGAAGAAAATGTAAGATTTTCAGTTTTTTTTAAAGACATTTCTAGCCCCAAATAAATGAGGAAAAATGCTGAAAATTATATCACAGTATTATAAGCACTTAAAATTTCAAAGGAAAAAAACAATCCAAACCATATTGCTTCTAAATGTCCTTTCTTATTTGAAATTCCATGCTTTGGGTGTTTGTTTGTAAGGGCTATTTGAGGAGAAGTAGAGGAAAAAAGAAGAGCTGGTGTCTGGTAATAATTTTTTTCACAAAAGTACTGCCTGTTTTTCTTGCTTGTCTACTCTTTTTTTTTCCAGTGAGTTGTCTACTGTATTTCATAGTCTTCATGAAGTCAATTGTTCTTAGAGGGTTTTTCCATCAACATGTTTTTTGCTGAATCACAGTGCCCATTTTTCAGGATTCATTTAGAAAAATAGTAACGAATGACACATAGTTCATTCATTTTCCCAGCTTCTCTCTAGATAAAATGTCTCTTTGTGACTGTCATAGTGCTTTCATGGGATAAATACAGTATTTCTCATATTTTGAGAATACAGGGTAGAAGATTAGGCCTAGACAGAAAGATTTTTGATTGCAGGACATTTGGCAGCAGTTGTGCTGACTGCCTTCAACCAAAACACGTTAACATCTTTGAGATTCCCCTGGGATCAATAGGACAGAAAGAATAGAAAACAATCCAGAGTCAGATTCCAGCAACAAATTGTCCAAGTTAATTTTTTTACATTGTAAGGAGGCTATATTTATAATGCCCACATGGCTAGATATCTATAATATTTATATTATTTTATTTGTATTTATATGGATTTTTTAAATATTTATTTAAAAGTATGATGGTTAAATGTTACCTGTATTAGGTTTAATCATAACCAAAATAAAACTAAGGGAAATAATATAGATTTTTTACAGGTTATAATAAAAAGGAATTACTCATATTTAAAAAAAATTGTTAACATATATGACATTTAATCTCTTTGCTATGTTGTCTATTTGTACTTCTTTATATGTGTACAATTCCACCTATACAAATACAATACTACAGATTCCCCCAATTTAATAAAAACACAGCTTTTAATTAAGTCAAATAAAGAAAAAGGAAAGATATTCAGTATTTCTTTGTTTTAGTTAAGGGGGTTTATTTAAAATTTCTCTGGCATATTTACTGATTTTTTTTCTTTTTTTTTTCTTTTTTATTTAATTGTTTTTTGTTTTTTTTTTTACTGTGAAAAAATCTAGCTGGTCACTGTGGTATTCCAGATCTTATAGTCAATGGACAAGTAATAGGAGAAAATTATGGATATAGAGACACAGTTGTATACCAGTGCAGTCCTGGTTTTCGGTTGATTGGTTCTTCTGTAAGAATATGTCAACAGGATCACAACTGGTCTGGTCAGCTTCCATCTTGTGTGCGTAAGTAAGAATGGCAACACATATGGATTTATGTTGCAGGAATATCTATGTCAGAAAGATGAGCATTGAATTTGCAACTTAGTGTTCATTTAAAAAAAAAAAGTTAAAGCAGATCCTCAAAAGTATGTGGCTACACAAAACCTATAACTCATCTATCAAGTGAAGTTAAGTGTTGTCACCTAAAATTTCCACTACATCTTTTGGCTACTAAATACCTGCAATTATGCATGGATATGAAACTTCTTCAAAAAGTGATAGGATTTAGGAACATCAGTACTCAAATTTGAAAATGGCTTTATGACCCACAGTGGCTTTTGGAAATATTTAATGTGCATTTACTATTACTACTGATAGTTGGATAAGTAGATATTCTTGAATTATAATGTCAGCTGATGATTATAACTCTGATGATTAAAATATTTTCTTAAAAAAATTATAATTTTTTTTCCTTACTATTCCTCACAGAGATACTGTTATTTGTTTTCTTTTGTGTGATAGGTGTGCCAACATATCACATAAAAGACCTTTAAGTAATAATAGAAAATGCTGTATTTAATTTAGGAAAATTTGAGATTTCTTGAAGGTCTCTCAAGTAAATTACAACTATGTTTCAGGTTCAGCAATACTAGTGTATTGAAACTGTATTAATCTGCCTCTAAATATTGTATTTTTATATATATATCTTTGTGGCAGAAACTCTCTCAATGATGAATCATAGTATTCAATGCTAATTAATTTATTCTGTGATGTTTTAGTTTTTTTTTTAATTAATAATGAACACTTTTTTATCAACAACTGGAATTTTTTACAGCATAGAAGAAAATGCTTATGAAGTTTTTTGAATCATTTTGTGAAAATTAATTTGTGTCTGATTTTCCTTACTGTTTTTTTCATCTGTTTTTTATGGGCACAGAAAATAAACTTTACCTTCTCTAGTCAGTTTTGGTATAAATATAAGAAAAATGTCACTGTACCCATAATGTTTCATATATCCAGTCATAAATTTATAACTTCACTAATATTTAAGCCTCGAAGATAAAATATTGAGTTGATACTAAGACCTATTTGTAAGAAATAATACCTGAGGAACTGAAATATATTTTTCTTAAATTTCAGACTGTATGTAATGAAAATCTAGTGCTTGCTCTTCTCCTGTGTCTTCAGAAGAGTTTTCTTCATTTGCCTTCATTACTGCATGTCAAATTCTATTCTGTTTATTTAAGTTCTTGAATTTCAATCCATCATGGGAAGTACTCAGTATCTGATAATATCAAAACTTGAAAATACTATTATATGATACTATTATACAATTATTATCTATTACATCATAAATAATGAACAGTGATAACAGCACGCTCTGTTTCTTGTTCCTTTGTTTTGTGCTTTGTTAGCTGTTAGCTGTGGTCACCCTGGTAGTCCTATTTATGGAAGAACAAGTGGAAATGGTTTCAACTTCAATGATGTTGTGACATTCTCGTGTAATACTGGGTATATTATGCAAGGACCAACCAAAGCACAGTGCCAAGCTAATAGGCAGTGGAGCCATCCACCTCCAATATGCAAAGGTAAGAATGCAGAATATACAGGTTTCCAACTAAATGTTGGAAATTTAAAGTTGAAAAGTAAACAGAGGGTAAAAGGACACTGTCATGACAAAGTGATCCCTCTCTTACTGAGAGACTGACTAACTAGCATAATAATCATATTATTAAGGATATTTTGTGATTCTATGATTTTTCATATTCAGCTTGCCAGGATAACTGTCGCAGAGAAACTTTCTTATGTGTCTGTGGTTTGTATTGATTTTTTAAAAACCATTCCTACAAGTTCCTTAAGCAAAATTATGCAGAGATAATTAAGAGCTTAAATCCTGAAATAATGTTCTCTGCATTTTTGCCAACATAGTCCTAGTAGACGCATAAGAAAACCTATATTTTTCTTCTCTTATGTTTCCACTGATACGCCATTGAGCATCTTGATTTTTAATTTTTTTTTCTAATTTGTTAGCCAATTTGTAATCCATTTGTGTTGGTTCTCAATGCTCTAGATAATATTCTAAAAAAAATAGTATAGTGGAATTAGTTCTGTTTGAGTTTTCATAAGCACTTTTAGAAAAGTTTTGTCACATTGTCTTTTTAAAATCTGTTGTTATGTTTTTTAAAAATATGTTAATTGTTTTTATTTAGAAAAATGTATTTTTTGCTGTAACCTGCTTGAACATATGCAGAAATGGTGTTGCTTTTCAGCATCTTCTCTGCAGCTCTATGGATTTTTATGTGTACATTAACTAACTCATAATACATTGTTATAGGTATTTTATTTACTGTATTTTCCTTCTAATAGGTGTTCTCCACTTTCATTTGATTACTTTGCCTTTAGTGACGTTGCCAAATAGTTTACAGAACTTAAGTTTCCAAGGGACTTCTTGTTGATGAGAAGATATTATTTTTAAAATTTACACTACTAAACACTGTGTGTTTAGGGTACCTACTTAATCTCATGTTCAGTCCAGTTGTTCTCAATCACCTCTGTATTCTGGTATTGCAGAATAATGTGTCAATGTATCTGATAAGTTATTGATCAGTAAATAAGTTGATCGGTTATGCTTTGAAATTTTACACAGTCCTGAAATCTTATACTGGTTTTGGAAGAGACTTTAAAACTAAAAAGAACTAACTTTGTGTAGGGCATCATTAATTGTGTCTGTCATGTGCAGTGAAATCAATTTTAATGAAAATAATTTTATTTGCTTTGAGGTTAAATAACAGTAACAACAATAATAATAAGACTACTAATAACAATAATAATATGTTACCCTGCATATTTGTAAACTACCTAAAGTGAAATATTATAGAAAAGGCCACACACCTTTATGAAGACTGAATTTGCAATTGTCATATAAATTCAACAGCGCACTTGTTGTTATACTATTTACAACTATGCTAAAAAGCTAGTTTCCTAGCCAACTATAATAATGGTGGAAAACTATTGAAATGGTCAAAGTTCCTTCTATTTTATTTCAAGTACTCACTATTCCAGATTAATTAATAGATTATTTTCAATAATACAAATATGGACAACACTCTCAGGCACATGGTATGATTCTTGGGGCTGTCCTATGCAGGGCCAGCAGAAGAACTTCAATGGTTCTTGTGGGTCCCTTCCAATGCAGGATATTCTGTGACTCTCTGGTTGTTCAGCTGACTTAAGTGATAGGAGACCATTTAAAGACTGTTTTAGGAGACTGTATTTGTATGACTCTCAAGTCTATGCTCTTTTTCTTTTTAGTGGTCAATTGTTCTGATCCTGGAATTCCTGCAAATTCTATAAGAGAAAGCAAAATTGAACATGGAAATTTCACATATGGCACAGTGGTATTTTATGACTGTAATCCTGGATATTTTTTATTTGGCTCTTCAATTTTAATTTGTCAACCAAATGGCCACTGGGACAAACCTCTCCCTGAATGTATTAGTAAGTAGATAATGAGTTTGCTTCTGCAAAGAATGTGGGCTAGACTGGGTACTATTTTACACAACATTTCCATCAGTCTCATGACAGCAATTACGATAATCATGTTTAATATACATTTGTGTGTGTGCAGTACTGATGAAAGGTCTCAATAGCAGCTGAAGTAGCAGTTATAGTGTTATTGTATGTAGCAAATGGGACAAGCCATAGTCAAAACAAACACCTCTGAATGCCCCAGCGTAATAATCCCTGATAGCAGGAACACAAGGTCAAAACGTATCTATTGAATTTGCCAATACCTGGCTTCCATTGGCCACAGAGTTCTTATCACATTGAAACCTAAAACCTATAGTATGCAATTATTGACTTATATCAATACAGTAATTTCTGGACTTCTCTTGGGACAACAGTTAGATCAGACTATCTATGAAGATACCAAGCACTGTAGAACTCCTAAAGTGTCCTCTGGATAATGTCCTCGGTTTACCACAGTAGCAGATGTACCTGAACATCATACTCATATGCAACCTATCCACTAAGGCAAGTGGATCAACACAAATAGGTTCTTTCTATTCTGACTTGTCATGAACAACTTTCTAACTGTGACGTAGATATAGCCAGAGGTGTTTCTTATGTTTTTAATTGGCTGGGACAGCTGATTTACCTGGTTCTCTATTAGTGTATGAAAAGGGTTTGGTTTAGGATCAAAATTTTTATCTGAGAAAGGTTGAAAGCTTTATTTTCTAGAGATTAAAGGGAAAACAGATTAAGGGTTTCTTATTTGAGAATTATGGACTGATATTTGCAATATTGTAGATATTTGTTGTCAGGAGGCTTCTCCAGTTCTGCTATTCTCTCTCTAAAAATAAAAAAGTATGAAACTGTTTTCTTATTGCTGCTAAAACTTTCAGTTATGGAATTTTTCCCTTTCTTTAATGGGATAAATAATTTGATTGCAAGTCACAGTTAAACTAAAAAAGAAGTGTCTATTGGTTTCACATTAAATTTAAAGGTAACATTACCATTTCAGAAAGAGAAATGTTGCTTAATAGTAACATATCTACAAAGAGTATTTTAAGGTAAAGTTTCAAAGATTTCTTTCTACATTTGTGTTTTTATCTCTCAGTCATTTTTTTCTGAATTGTCACAAGTAATTTAATGATATATCTTTTATTCTTATTTTAAACTGAGCTTTGGGAGTAAGAGTGCTATCTGTACTTTTGAAAGGGCATCCTCCCCTTTATTTGTGTTGTTTATATAAAGAGGTCAATGAATTCTACCAGGGCAATGTCCATGATATTTTGTAATCATAAGCTTACCAAAACTTATTCTGTTGCAGCTACTCAAATTTTTTGTAAGAACCTTTCAGCCTCTGGAGTATTTTGCAAATTATTGCTGGAGAGGGACATTTTATGAGGGCATATATTGATAGCACAAGGGCTAATGGTTTTAAACTAAAAAGGGTCAATTTAGATTATATATACGGAAGAATTTTAAATTTTTTTCAGTGAGGGTGGTAAAATAGAAAGAAAGAACTTTTTGGAAATAAAATGGAGAATGAATTAGCATTAGCAGAAAAAAAGAAATACAATCAACTCTTCTTCTCACAAGAAGAAGAAGTCTCGTTATGTTGAATCCTTTTTTTATTAACAATGTTCAAAGTTTGCAATCTCTGCAATAATACATAATTAATAGAATTTAGTTATAAGGAACTGATTAAAAAATAGCATGCTGACATCAAGTGTTCAGTATGTAAAGCTGACTGTTCTGACTATTTTACTAAAAGTCCTGCAAGCCTAAATGTTGTTCACAGGGGTCAGTGACACTAGGTAGAAGCAAAGTCATTGACATACCACATTCCTAAATCCTTTCTGAGGCTGTCAGGAAGGTTCCGCACTTTGGAAGTTGGACCCCTGGAAGAACATATGTCATTAAGTGCAGATCGCTATATACATAAATTAAAGCTCTAAGACCAAGAATAACTATTAGAGAAAGACAAATCGCACATGATTTTGGTTATGTGCTGTATTGTACAATCACTGTACTGAAATGCTATGGAATTGAATACATCCTCAACCCTGATCAGGCTTCTGATTTGGATTTTTTTTTTTAATAAAAAAAATCTACTAAAAAAAGTATTAAATAAAATTAAGTTTTGATAAAAACTACAGTTGTATGATTTAAGGGCCTGTTCTACTACCCCGATATTTGCAGCTCTAATTTGTGGGTTTCGTGGTACATAAACACAAATATCTTTGGCTGAGATAAGCCACATGCCATGGACAGCTGTAAGGTAACAAGAAATCAAAGATGCAGGCCTAGATTCATTCTGTGAACATGGTGAATTTGGTTTATGAATTTTAACTGTGCATTTCCTGAAATTGACATATTTAGTTTGCTTTTAAATTAACTCTTTGCTCTCAGTTATTAAGAGAGATGAGTTTCTGCACATTCTCTACCACAGCAGTGACTTGAGCAGATATTGTTTACATGTAATTTTTCTCTGAAGAGTACAAGCATGAATGTATGTTTGTGTGCATGCATGTGTTCATGTCATAAAGATCAACTTAGTGAATGAGTGGTTTTGGACATTGATATCTGTACCTAAAATATCTTTTTTTTGATATCTCTAAACATTTGTTTCACAGCTTTTCATCTGAAGTATATTTTGGATTCTAATCCCATGATGTTACCTCTTTCCCATATACCCTAAAAATGTAAACCTCTTCACAAACTTTATGTATGCAGTTATAAAAATGAAAATTGCAAACTGTTTGATCAGTGATAATAACCTTTTTTTATCTCCAATAATTATGCATTGTAGTGATTGACTGTGGACATCCTGGAGTTCCTCCTAACGCGGTACTGTCTGGTGATAAATACACATTTGGGTCTACTGTCCATTATAGCTGCACAGGTAGACGATCGTTGTTAGGGCAGTCATCTCGGACATGTCAGTTAAATGGACACTGGAGTGGATCTCTCCCTCATTGCTCAGGTAATATTTCTGAATTAATGATTATATCCTGAAGTTGTTTAAAATTTATTTTGATTTTTTCAGAAGGTCATTTAAAAATCTGGAAAATCACATATAGAACTAAAGTACCATCTCAGTAGAAGTAGAAAAAGTAAACCCAAAATAAGTACAAAGTATCCACAAGAAAATAATCTGGAAGAAGTAGGCTTTCTTGGTGACATTTAATATGAAATTCACAGACTGTGGAAAGAAACCGATACTTTAAAAATGTCTACTGATTTGATGACACCGCAGGTGTAACTTGATTGTGTAATACATTCCTCTGTATAATAAGGCCAAATGGGCTCCACATAATTTCAAGGTAGGATGTTTGGTTTTTTTAGGAAACACTATCTAATCCTCATAATAGATAAACCCTCACCAAAGTCAAGATATGTTTTCTGCACCACTTATCGCTTAGGAATATTGTGTTTCACAGCTTCAGTTTGATTCACTTTAACAGCAGTGATCAAGTGAAAAATGTAAATCCAAGTCACATGCTAATTTGGGATTTGGCTAAATCCCATTTGTTTTTGTAGACTATGTAAACAAATATTGTGATAAATGTTAACCTTGTTATTAGTTTTAATTCTCAGTAAATACTAGGGGAGGTTCTTTCTTGTCATGCTCATGTTTCATTATATAACTTAAAGAAATCAGTGAGGTTTCTTTAAGTTACGTAATTTAGAGCACTTAGATAATTTCAATGGCAGAAAATAAGTAGAAAACAAGTGTAGTTTTTTCTTAAATTACAACTATGCCAAAACTAGAGGTGAAAAATAAATCATATGCAAATGTGACTACTGCTATACTAGTTTCACACTAAAAATCCACGGTTCTTCACGGTATTAATAAATAATAGAATCATAGAATGGTTTAGATCAGGAGAGACCTTTACAAATCATCTAGTCCAACCTACTAGGGACATCTTCCACTGGCTTCATCTCATAGTTTTTGTTGGAAGGGATCTCCAAAGATCATCTAGTCCACCCTCACTGCAATGACAAGGGACATATTCCACTAGATCAGGTTGCTCAAAGCCCCGTTCAACCTGACCTTGAATACTTCTGGGGATGGGGCACCCACAAGTTCTCTGGGCAACGTATTCCGGTGTCTCACCGAACTCATCATGAGAAAATGTCTTCTTTATGCCCAACCTAAACTTAACCTCTCTTAGTTAAAACTATCGCCTCTTGTCCTGTCACTACAGACCTTGATAAAAAGTCACTCTTCATCTTTCTTATATATTTTATACATTGAAAGGCTACAATAAGGTCTTCTGGATGCCTTCTTTCCCTTTTTCAGGTTGTACAGCCTAAATTCTCTCAGCTTTTTTGCATAACAGAGGTGTTTCAGCCCTCTGATCATATTTACAACCTTCCTCTGGACCTGCTCTAACAGGTCCTTCTTCCTGTTGTATAGGGAACTTCAGAAATGGGTACAGGAGTCCAGGTGGGGGTCTCACATATTCTAATTCTATTTTTTTTCCCCTGCCCTCATCTGTTCAGTTTATTCAGTCATAAACTGATTATGTCAGCTACAGTTTCAGAGCATGCAATTTTACAGCCGATGGCAGAAATAGTTGAAAATTAATATGAAATATTAAAATAAAACTTCTTGGTTAAAATCTTGCATTAAATTCTAAAGCACTGAAAGAATTTTTCAGTATCTGAACCTTCCTCTGCAAACTATTAGGAAGCTAAAATCTGACATAACCCAGGAAAATGGAACACGTAATTTAATGCCTGAACTTTCTATAAATAAAGCAGAAGGAAATTTGACATAATTAGAACAAAGATCAAGTTCTTATAAGCTTTGATGCTTAGAACTCTGCACTATAAATCACACCTTAATGTAAAATAATCTTATTTAATAAATAATTTTATATTAATGTAATTTGCAAATTTGAACTATGTTAATAAAAAGTGAGTTTACAGTTTACATGCATCAGTATTTGCTTTGGAGAAAAAAACTCCTCTTTAGATAAAATCTAAGGCTACTTATTGTAGTTTTCCATGGTCTTCATAAGAAAAAAAAAAAAAATCTAAGTTGTGAGTTACAAAAATAATTAAAGAAGTAGACAAAAATATCAAGGAATACAAATAGGAAGCCTGAAAATGAGCATGAAAATATCAAAGAAGCCTCACTGAAATTAGGGCTATTCTTATAGTAATTCTCCTATTGAGTTAAATAAGTGTTGAAATATCTTGGGTTAAGCATTTCAAACTGAGGTGCATTATTTTTTTTTTCTAATGATGGCTTTTTTATCCATGGTTAGGAAACTCTAATCAAATCTATTTAATCTTTCTCAATACATGAAGAAACATTTCCTTGACATAGATTTAAATGTTAATTATAATGAATCAAAATGTATAGAATACAAACTCCTCTTATTTTCCTTAGCTATAGCATAACAAACTATAATTCTGGCATAGTACATTTTTTAGATTTTGTTTTCAAATTGTATATCTGAAATGTATTCTCATTATAAAATAATTTGCAGTTCACTATACAGAACTTCCATATTTTGAATCTAAAAATATGTAAAATCATCAGATAATGCATATTAAAGCATTAAAATTTGCATATTTTTATATTATTGATAATAAATAACATAGAATGTTCAACTGAAAAAAGGCACAGCATGCTTGACCTTTTCATATATGACAAAGAATTCAAATAGAAAATGCTAGGTCAGTGAAAATAAGATAATCAAATTATTTCACATTAACCCTATGACAGTTTCTTTTTTGTCACATGACATTGAGCTAGAAGGAATTGTCATGTCCTGTTGATATGTATTGGCATTCAGAAACAGTTTTCAATCATCATGTGCACATCAGATGGAGTCAGAAATTTTCTGCAACATAGAATTCCTCATAAGTGCAGCAAAGGTTTTATACATACTTAAGTAGTCTAAATACCCTTCATTTCATTAAGATTAAACGTCAGCTAAGAATTTGTTACACATGTGAGTGAAGGATGGCTCATAAATTACTGTAAAAATCACTTAGTTGAGTCCGCATGAGGTAATAAAAATATGTTCTCTTATGATATCATTGCTTATATCACTGTCACTTCCTGATGTGATTAGTCATTTAGAAAAATTATTTCTGTAACCTTCAATCAAAAGAGCTGGTGGTTAACCTTCCTAAGATTAAAAGTGTAATAATTCAAAGTAATAATTAGGCATTAGGAAAGAACACATGATTTGGAAGAGGAATATGTGATTTCTACTTGGCTTAGCAAATAGCCTATTTTAATTTTTTCATCATAAAATTATTTTAGGCATACTGCCAAGTAACTTGTCACAAATTGAACTGTTATTGTGAAGAATAATGAATGGGCCCTGTTCTAATTTTGTCATAGTCTAAATAAATAATACTGGCAAATGTAAATATGGATTCCCAAAATAGACAAAAAACCCTTGATATTTTAAAAAGATGCAGCAGACTATTTTCAAACAAGAGGGGTGTTTGGATGGGCACAAAGTATTTTGAAAGTTTATAAAATGTTTTTACTTACTATAATTTGGAACTATTTACAATTTCTTTTTAATCAGGTTTGGCAGACTACTTTACTGATCTGTGTCACATAATGAAATGCATAAACAGAGAACAGCCTAAACTTTTGAGTCCGTGATTTTGAACCAGACAGTTCTTATACTTACTTGAGTTAATTTGCTATTTCTGAAAGCATTAAAACATATAGTACCGTATACTCCTTGGATATATTGGACTAAAACAAGTATTTGTCATATGCCACACTTATCATAGGAAAGTAAGCTAGTTCTACTCTTCTTTTTACTATCCAGTTCTGTACATACTTTTGTCAGTAAAGAGATGTGTCCAACCCTTCACTCTCACCAGCATTGGTTACACACACACAGTGCCAACCAAGACAAGAATAGCTCTGTTTTTCCCTCCATGTGCTACTTCAGGCTCTTAACTTCTCACAGAATCTCCAGATAGTGAGTTTTGGTCTTCTGCATACTTGGAGTAGGCAACTTTATGTACTATTTCTATGTAAGAATTTTTCTTATTATTGCTATTTAAACTGAGATAAACACCAGAAAAGTATGGCTATCCTACATAACACAGCCTTTACATAATTGGAATAATTCTTTCTAGCTGATTCTTGAAATATTTCACCTGTACTTACAATAGTGTAACTAATTACAAAGTAGTGCAGACATTCTCACAAAAATATTATTATGTTTTACTTATTTTTTGTATGAAAGACATTGGTTTTATTTGCAAGTTGTTACAGAAAACTGTAATCTATGGGCAAAAACCTGAACAGTGCAACTCCCGGAATTCTAGAATTCAACTCTTTAGTATTGGAACTCAGTAATATAATACGCCTTCATCTCTTATGACATAGAAAACTGTCTTAAAGATCTTTAAAAAGATAAAGCAGAAGATCCCAAGTACATATTAAAGGATTCAAACAACTGACCTACTGTTCAAATAGTGTGTTACCTAGAGATTCCTAAAAATTATCACCATAACTAAAGATTTAGATCTGTATCCTTTTTGATATTTTTATTCTCCTTTTCCTTTTCCTTTTCCTTTTCCTTTTCCTTTTCCTTTTCCATTTCCTTCTCCTTCTCCTTTTCCTTCTCCTTCTCCTTTTCCTTATCCTTCTCCTTCTCCTCATCCTTTTCCTTCTTTTTCATTACCATGTTGATTATGCTAAAGATCTATATACAACAGATAGTTGAAAACATTAATGCTCTATCTTGGAATTTGCTTAAAATTTTCTATCTAAGGGAAACTATCTAAGGCAGTTTTGAAGGGATTTTTCAACATTTCTGTAAATCAGGGAAATGCTTCAGGTCTAGTATGCATAAGATTGTTGACTAGAACTTTCATTCAATTGTAAACCTATCGCAACTCTAATCATTCCACCATAAAACTCTATTAAAAAAGTAAAAAAAGTATTTTTTGAGCACTAGTTATTTGCAAATAAGAAAATTGTCTTTACAATCAGGACCTTGGTTTTCCTCAGAATTCCCTATTATAAATAAAAAATGACCAAAGTTTTGTGGTTGTCTTTTTTTTCCCTATTCTTATTAGATTATGTTATCAAAAGTTTAGTATTAAGGGAATTTGAGATAATTATAATTCTTTTTCTGTACTTATATAAAATAAATACAAAGAAATTAGTGGAGAATCAAGTAATTTTGTAATTACAGGGACTCATTCCCACTGACACATATGGAGGTTTTTTCTAAAATATAAACATAAATTTATTTCTATATACATAGAAACCTACATTTTAAATCCAGTATCATAACAACATTTCATATTATTCAATCTCTGTACTCTAAAATCTAGGTGATACAGCTGGTTCTTGTGGTGATCCAGGTATCCCAGGTCATGGGTCTAGAGAAGAAAACAATTTTAAAATTAAAAGCACAATACATTTCAGCTGTGATATTGGATACATCCTCCATGGCTCAGAAGAAAGAACATGCCTGGCAAATGGAAGTTGGACAGGAAGACAACCGGAGTGCAAAGGTAAATCAAAGATCCATTCTAAAGAAGATTCATTCTATTTTTAAACTGTATTTTTATTAGTGTTAATCAGAAAACCAATTTTACATTGCCAGCTTTTTGTCTATCAATGTCCCCCCCACCTGGAGATCAAAGCCTTTTAATGTCCAAAACAGTCTGTTATTGTCTCACATAATGAGACTCTTCGCTTAACATATTCACTGAGACTGACAGGATATTTGATACCTTTTTATATAAGGACTGAACTTTATAGCAATAGAAGAACCCCTCAGCAGGTTTCTCCTAAGAGTTATTTTGCCATTGATGAAACTGTCAGCATCTAAAAATGGACTCACTCTAACAGTTCACAAAATAACATGTTTATTAATACAAATTTGTGACAATTTATGGGGTTCTTTGTGTCTGGAATAGGGTCTAACTGCAGAACACACTTAAACTATGTAATAGTAATAGTAAAGCCAAGCATAGGCACGCACGTTAAAGCAAAAGCAACTTAAAAAGACCTAAAACAACTTACGAAGAATAAGTAAAGCAAAAAACTTAAGCACATGCCCTAAAGCAAAAGCAACTTACAACAAAGTAATAAGTAAAAATTTTAAAGTACTATGGAGCAAAGGTAAAATTAGTAAATATGTATAAAGTGATCGCTCACCCCAAGGCGTCTCAAGAAGGTGGAGCAAGAAAAAGGTATCTCATCAATTCCCTCCACAGAGTTGATGGAACTTCTCCATTTTTGCTTGGGTACAATCTCTTTTTATACTTTTTTTCTTTAGGCAGTTTGAGTGGCTATAGTCAATAAACTAATTTTGGGGTGATAGACGGATAAAATAGGCCCAAGGGTCCACTTCTTATGTTCCCAGCATCCAGGATGTTCGGCAGGAAAAGGCCATGTTATCTCCTTTCTTCATTTTAGTCCTTTTATCAGTTTCTGGGAATGTCTCCCCATGTGCTGGGGTTTTCCCAGAAACCATCAGGAGATTTTTTTCTGCTTTTGTGTGGCCTTTCTATCACCTTACAAATGGTATGCAGTTGATTTTGGACTTAAATTTTTTCAAATAAATTGTTAAACTGTAGCAGTGGCTTGGCATCTCATCATTTGTCACATTTCAAGTGACAAATTTGAAACCAGTTCTTGGCACCCATGAAACTTCATGTTTTCTAGTTCGGAGAAAAAAAAAAATTAGATAAACCTCTAGAAGAACCTTTTTGCTGAAGTATTTTTTCACATAAAAATCTCACCATAACCTGACATTTAATCACAACCATTATACACCTGAATTTCATACAAAAGAGCTCAGTTTTAGGAAAATGTCAGTGTCAGGATTTCATTAGATATATCTATGTATAAATAACTGGCTTAAAATTTCAATTACTGGTACTGTTGACATTATTATTTTTCAATAGAAAACTAAATTCAGAAACAAATTTATTTGTAAAAAATAATTTGGAAATTTAAAGGAAGAAGAATTACCATAAAACTCCAACAGGATATTTATGGAGAATAATTTATTACCTAAATTATCTTGCTTCAAAATAGGAGATAATTCCCAACAGATTATTTTGCAAATAACAGCTTCCTGAAAAGCAGAAAATAATTTGAGAACCTCTGCTCTTATTTTCCACTTCGTCACTGTTGACTTTGTTACCTCTATGAAAGTGTCATGACATTTTAAAAACTTATTTCACAAGCTGGTTTTCTTATGTCCTTTCTCCTGAACAATTGCTGTCCTGACACTGCATAAATAAATAAGTGAATAAATATAAATATATATAAGTTATGTATATATATTTATGTTGGTATCTGAAGGGATATGCTTAGTCCAACTGAACCAACTGCTATTTTTCTTTGATCTCAACTAGCTCTTTTACATTTTAAGATGCTTTTGGTGATTTTTTTTTTCTTGAAATGAGAAATATAGTTCACAGATATATAGAGATATGGGTGATGCATGAACAGGTATGTAGTTCTAGTTTAGATCATATAGTTTAAATGTACATATATGTAATCACATAAGAATGACACATCCAAATTCCCAAGTCAAACGTTGAAGAACTGGGAAACATCGGGGTTCCACCTGCCTATGAAATAATATTTGACACCATCCTGTGCTTTGAATTAGGAAAAATATTTTGGTGATGCTAGAAAGGCACACATACTATAGATAAAAATTAAATCTACAATGATAATTGCAGATCAGGTATTTTCTTATAATTGGGAGTTCATTTTTGCAGCTAAATTAGCTTTTCACTAATGCAGATTATAAAGCTAAATTTCTAGGTTTTGTTTCCCTACACATAAAAAGGTAAAAACTAGTAATTCATGCACACAACTATTTACTGTCCAATGTGCCTTATCAGTAGGTGGTAAAACGTACATTTTTCGGGACAACAGTGTGGATTTTCACCATAACACTGCTGGCAGCAGGATTATTCCTAGGCATACCTATTTCAAAAAACACCTTTACTTCATTTTGAAAAATATTTAACGTTTTCCTTTATAGCTGTGCAGTGTGGTAATCCAGGAACAACTGCTAATGGAAAAGTACTTCGTATTGATGGAACTACATTCTCTAATTCAGTAATTTATTCATGTGTGGAAGGATACATACTTTCTGGATCATCTGTAAGACAGTGCACTGCCAATGGAACATGGTCTGGATCTTTGCCAAACTGCACAAGTAAGACATATTTCTAATGAATAGTCTCTGATTTTCCTCTCCTCTGAAAGACAATAAAGTAGAATATAGAAGTTGCATACCAATAAATTTTCAGCTTTTTCTTGCACTATTTTCTGCATAATTTTGCATATGAAATACTTTAAAAAATATAATGCTATACAAATGTGAAGATTATGTTTTTTTTAAAGGCACACACAATATAGTAAAATATATAGACTGCTATTACAGTTTAAGCAATTGCATGGTTACATGATCTACCTACTTGAATTCTTTCCTAGTATCTATATTTTAAATCTTGTTTATGTTTTGTGATACGTCATATTCAGACATTTTTATTTTAATTGCTTTACTTCATCTTGAAAACTTAGCAGTATAATATTCTGGTCTTCCAGAGGATAGAAAATAAAAACTTTGTCATAAACACCTGAGAATTATTTTGTAGTGACCCCAAGGTCAACACTGTTGTCCTGCTTTCACATGTCATCTTCTGTTTGGCCTCTTCATTAACCTTAAACTTGCTTTGGCTACTCAACTAACAGAAGCTATTTCAGCATCTCTCACATTCATAATAAGCATTTTGCAACACTGTATTTTCAAGCCCATCTGTTCCTGCTTTATTACATGTCCTAGTTCATCTTTTAGTAACAATTATGAAAATTTTACATTTATGTGACTCATGAGACTACCTATCATTTTGAGGAAACTATCCTCATCAGAGGTATAGCAAACTTGTTTAAATTTTGAACGTATTACAGCAACCCAAATAGAGCCCAAAATTTAGATGATAAAACTTCTTGTGTTATTTTTAAATCAGTCTTTATTGGTAAGCACGTGAACAGCTATCTTTGCAGTCATCAAACCTGGTTTTGTTTATTTATTATTATCCAAATTATAATGAGAATCAAATTAATTGTACCGAGGATAAAGATGTTTTGTGATGTCAACTGCATCTATATTTTTTCGTTTATTTTAGAATAGCATTTTACTGAAATACATGCCAAAACAGTCTTCTCAAAACACATTGCTCAGGTAGAAACATGAAATTTTTTCTTAAAACCTAGAAAAATATCTTATTAGAGGAAGTATCCTAATAAAACAAGGGGAAGGAGATTCAGGATATGCCAATTTTGTTTAGTCCACATGTTATCAAAATTTACAGCCAGTCCATACTTATTACAGCTGCTTCTTGCATATCCTTGAAAATGCTGGGTGGCAGAGCTAACCCTGTAAGAAGAGAACAGCATAGATAATCTTATATCCTTTAGATGCCAGGAGCCCTGGGCAGTGTACCATCGAACAAGACTGCCCCACGTGCAATATGTCATGCAGACCTAAAGCAAAGATTCTCCCCTTTCAACTCTGCAAGTTATTATAGGATTTTCTTACGAAGAAATAACAATATCATTTCTGCAGTCAAAGAGAAACAATGTTCTCAGGAGAGCTTCTTATTGCACTGCTAAATAAAAAGCAAGGACAGCAGTCAGCAAAGTGTAATCATGGAGTGCTGCCGTGAGCTGTCTGAGGTTGTGCCCTGGCCTAGAGATCTGTGTGGCTCAGGTCTGAAGGCCATGTTGGATGTGCAGCACAGGGCAGCACAGGCCTGGGGCTCCCCAGCTTAAACGTTGTGTTTCACTGACTCGTCGATGTGCAGTGGTCTTCTGGTCGGGATCACTACAACAATTTAAGGTCCTTTTTGCCTACCATAGTGAACTAAGTGGAGATGATCCAACTGAAATGAAGCAAAGATTAGAGAAAAAAAAGGATAAAGGCATTAGCTTTATGTTTTAATTCAGGCAAAACAATCATGGCTAGGCTTCGTCAACAAAGATTTGGGAAGGGCACTACCCACATTTGTTACAAGAGCGTTGGTGGCTAAAAAGGCCAATACGAGACAGGCAAGTCCGGTTGCAAAAGGCACAGCAGAAAGACTCCTTAGGTGGTATATTCTGCAAGGCACGATTCTTTCTGCATTGTCTTTTCTCCTCAAGAGTGATCCTGTGTGCTTTCTCAAAGGCATCAGCAGCGTTATAGATAGTGTGTCTCCAGACGTCCCGATTGGAGGCCAGAGTAGACCAGTTATGTTGATCAATATGGCCAAGACTGAGATGTTGTTTCAGGGAGTCCTTGTATCTTCTCTTTGGGGCTCCTCTCTTGCAGCAGCCAGTGGCAAGCTCACCATAAAGCAGGATCTTAGGGAGGCGGTGGTACTTCATCCTTGAGATGTGCCCTGCCCAACGCATTTGTGTTCTCAGTAGCATGGCCTCAATACTTGTGATTGCTGCTTGTTCTAGAACAGATGTATTGGTCACATAATCTGACCAGTGGATGTTTAGGATTGTACGGAGGCAGCGTTGATGGAAGCGTTCTAGGAGTCGCAGGTGGTGGCGGTAGATGACCCATGATTCGGATCCATATAAGAGAGTAGACAGCACTATGGCTTTGTAAACACTGATCTTTGTATTTTTCTTCAAGTGTTTATTTTGCCAAACTCTTTTATAAAGCCTTCCAAAGGCACTATATGCCTTTGCTAACCTGTTGTCTATCTCTCCGTCAATCTTACCATCCGAGGAGATGAGGCTACCTAGGTAATTAAACTACTGAACTGATTTGAGTTCTGATTGGCCAATGGTGATATGGGGATGATGGAAGACTTCCCGAGGTGCAGGTTGATAGAGAACTTCAGTCTTCTTCAAGCTGACTTCCAGCCCAAAGAGCTCAGCAGCATCTGCAAAGCAGGATGTTAAACGCTGCAGAGCTGCTTCTGTGTGGGCGACTAGGGTGGCATCATCAGCATAAAGCAACTCCCAGACAAGATGGTTTAGGGTCTTAGTGTGGGCCTTCAGTCACCTTAGGTTGAATAGACTTCCATCAGTACGATATCGAATGTAGATACCATCCTGATCATCGAGGTCTGCCGTGGCCCTTTGGAGCATCATGCTGAAAAAGATTGTGAATAGGGTAGGAGCGAGAACACAGCCTTGTTTCACACCACTGGTAATTAGAAAGGGCTAAGAAAGTGCATCACCATATCTGACTTGGCCACGCTGATCCTAGTTTGAAGGTTTGTCTGGAATCTGTCTCTTACTGTGGCTGATTGGAGATTGTTAACTTGGAGTCTTCTCCTTGGGATACTACCCCTTTTAGGTTTGAATTTAAGATTGAAGTTGAGTTTACAGAGCACAAGCCGATGGTCTGTTTGGCATTCTGCACTAGGCATCACGCGAGTATGGTGGACATCGCGGACATCTCTCCGTCACACATAATCGATGAGGTGCCAATGTTTAGATCTAGGATGCATTCAGGTTGTCTTCAGACTATTTTTCTGCTGAAAGATGGTGTTAGTGATGGTGAGCTGTTGCTCCGCACAGAATTCTAGCAGAAGTAGACCATTATCATTGCAGTGTCAAAACAATAGTATAGTTGGAAAAATATTGAGGATGATTTTAGCAAAATTTGAACATTAAGGATAATAAATGGAATATGTTAAATAGAGAAAGGTAGAATATGCAGAATATTTGAATATACTTGTGTTTCTGTCTTTTCCAGATTTATATTATTTGAAGTGACCATGAAAAATCTATGACTTTTTAGTTTTTAAATAAATTAATATTACTGTGTAGGTAAACTAAATTAGGCTGATCTCGATTTTCCTTTATCAGTGCACCAGCTACCTTTAGACTAACCCAGATAACCCTGTGATATGTTTTCTAGTCTCTTCTGTATCCATAGACAGTGATTACATGTGACATCTTAAGATTTATGATATATGCCCCATAATTAGGATCTGATCACTCAAACTGTGATAAACTGTAGAGCAAGGTATATATACTATATGCACCTTGAATTCTCAGGTCCTCAGTTATTAGATCAAGGGACCTGGCCAGAATATATCACAAATATGTAGTCATGGATTTTTGTGATTTTGGAGAGCAGGATACAGAGAGGGTGCCATTCACATCCGTCAGGCTTTGGCATTGACTTAAAAGTGGACAGGATATGCTTTCTGCCCAGGAAACTGCCTCCCATGGTTTTCCAGGAGCAATAGCAAAGCTGTAAGGGCATTGTCAAGTTTACCATAAAATAAAAAATAAACTGAAAAACACATGGAATAATATATTTTGTATGAACTAGATTCCCCCCCCCTTTTTTTTTCCCTGAAAACCACCACTTTTTATCAGAGTTCAGCATTTAGACAAAACTCTCAGGCACATGGTGTGATTCTTTGGGATGGTCCTGTGCAGGGCCAGGAGTTGGACTCGATGATCCTGATGGATCCCTTCCAACTCAGCATATTCTGTGATTCTGTGATTGCCATTAGTATTCTCAAGATTTCTTACTCTGAAAACAGAAGTTGATAGATCCAATTGACCGGATCTGAAAGAACCTTACCTGTTTTAACACTATTTTCAGATTACAATGGTATAAAACTCTTTATTAACTCCTTAGGAATATTTTATTTCATTAGGAGATTATGTCCTAACACTAGAAGTCACAAGAGGTTTTACAACCACTCCTACTCATTAAAGTACCATAGACCTAGTATTTACGTAAGTCACAGTCCATGTTTGGGGGTTGGCTGAATATTCTCATCTGTTTATGTACATAGCAACCATGTGAGCATTTATGAAGTTTTGGCAGACATATATCTTAATTTTTCCTGGTTGTATTTTCTTGCAGAATATATCCATAGAAAAGTAAACTAAATAATAGGTATCTGCTTTTTTAGTAATGAAGCTGATCTGATAGGAAAATTTTAGGCTATCAAAGGGTGGCAGTGTCATATGGATAATTTCTTGCCTTTCTTTTTTTCATTTTGTAATCTTGAAATTTTGTCGATGAAAACTGTGCAATCCTTTACTTCTACTGCTAAACAAAAGTGTTTATGTTCTCCAAATATAATTGTTATACAGCTCTACATAAATTTGGCAGCTAATTAAGATGACATCTTTATCTTCTCTTGTTGGAGATAAGATTTATGACACCTTTTTCTTCTCCTTCTTTTTGCCAATAAATGCCTAGTTTTGTCCTGTGTTTTTCCCCTCACATATAGATAAATCACATTTAGATTTTAAAATATGTTCCTCAACTATTTACTTGCAGTTATCAGTTGTGGAGATCCAGGAGTCCCAGCCAATGGCATGAGATATGGTGATGATTATGTTGTTGGACAAAATGTTACTTATATGTGCCAACCTGGTTATACAATGGAAGCAAATAGCTCCTTAATTCGCACTTGTACTAGCAATGGCACGTGGAGTGGAGTAATCCCAACATGCAAAGGTACAACACTTATTTTGCTTGTCAGCTATTTCTTCTATTACATTTACATACACTGTTGATTGTAAATTGTTAATTTATTGTATATTTCCAGAGAAATTGAAACTTACTGTAAAACACTTTATTATTTTGTTGCTAAACTTAATTATCTAATATGAAATGATGGTTTATAAAGTTAGCAAGTCATATTAAAATAATCTTTTATATCTCCCTGCATTTACAAAAATAATGCTCAAACATGTGAAAGACACCTTTGGGAAAGGTCTGTGTATATACAAACTGAACTTTGTCAAAGGCAAATTGTTCTGAGTTACCCTATCTATAATACTAAGATTTTCCTTTGGTCCCTCCTTTATTAGATGGGCACTTTTAAGAATCACTGTGTTACAAAAGGACTAAATCCTTCTAGCAAATTTCACAATAAAGATTTTTCTGCTTCATGTTACCTTCTCTACTGTCAAAACTGAAAGGATTAATTTCAAGATAATCTTTTTCTCTCTTCTAATTGCATACCTGATTTTTCTGTTTTGTTTTTTTGTTTGGTTGGCTTTTTGTTTGGTTGGTTTTTTGTTTGTTTTGTTTTGTTTAGTGTACCCTGTTGGAATTTCAACAGCAAAAATTCTAAATATTACTGAAAGACGAACTTATCTGTCTCATCAAAAATACTTTCTCTGAGAAACTCACTTGCTAAACCCTGAACCAACTTCTCTCTGGAGTAATTTTTCTCACTCTTCCTGATACTACACCTGTAGAGAAGCATTACCATTTTGGTGTGTTCTTTCTGGGTTCACACTAAGCATGTCTATTCTTTCAAAACTTAGTCAGTTAAGTTTATGTCTATTTTGTTCTTATCCATCTTTCTCCTGTTTCATTTTCAGGAAGCACATGATGCGTGTTCAGCAGTTCTCATTTTCCTCCCCTGAATTCATTCCTCAAAATAAATTAATTTCAAATCTTCACCCCATTTGCAATTACTTTTTTCCTGCTGAGTGCAATTCCCCCAATATCTTAACAAGTACAGTTTAATGCTAATTCACCTTTGATGATATCCATTTTTAAAGTCATTTTCCTGACGCATTCTTGAGGACATAAACTTTGAGATCCTCTTAACTTTACACTTTTTTTTTTCTATTTACAGTGTGCTCTTAGCCAGCCTCAGTTTCAATTAATATTTATTTTAAGAACAGAAGAACAGCTATAGTGGTACTATTGACCAAGAGTCTGTCTGTATCTAAGAGTGGCTGTAAGTGAACAGCTAGAAGACCATAAGACAGAAAAAGTATTTATGATATAGTCTCCCATCCTCAAATTCTTAAGGTCTACAGGGCACCTAAGAGGGAGCAGAAGATCTAACTGTGATTTGATTCAAACAGAACTATATAAAGAAAGAGTTGTACTGTCAGTTTTAACTTTGAATTTTTGATTCTTTCTGGTTTTGCCTCATACATATTTAAGGTTTGTATAAATACTAAATAATAACCATATAAAGAATCTCTAGTGTTCTCAGAATTTTGTTCTACCTGTTTGTGTGAGTACACTAGATAAGTTAATAGCATAATTAAAAGTAATATATTATATGCAGTAGGGTGTTTGAAATGTATAACAATTAGTTCTTACTGTCAGAATGAAGTGCCAGGATCCTTTGGTACCATTTAGTTAAAATAATTGGAAAATGAACTGGGCAGAAGGTGGATGTATAATTGTCTCTGTGCCATTGAAAGAGAAGATATAAATAATTCTCTGCTATGCCTAGTTGGAAAAGGATGCATGTTCATCTTCAACTGAATATTCAAATATTCAAGCGTTGTCTTTTTTGCAGACTTGCATTTGTTATATTCTTGTAGTTCTTAAACTGAGAAACATTGCTGTACATATTTATGCCTAACTCTGACCAAAATAGAGAGGCATTCTGGCTTGTTGCTGGGTGTTGTTTTGTTTTGCTTTTCTCACCACAAAATTCTGGTGTTGCACCTATTTTCATACTATTTCTTCTCTCCCCTTTCCCAATTATTCACTGGTATTCCCTCCTTTATTAATCACCTCAGAAGTTAAAACTATATAAGATCCCTGTAAAAGGACTGTTCATGAAGCTCTTGGACAATGAGGACAGAGTTCTGCTTCTTGGAGTACTTATTTTGATGCACGTTTATTAAAACATCATAAAAGTGAGGAAAAAGCTATCATGTCCTTTTCTGGGACAAAATCAAGGCCTCAAAATTTAGATTCGTTTTACTGGTGGCAAAGGGTTATTTGGTAACAATACTACTTTCATCCAGCATTCTCAAACAGCTATGAATGGTGCTGCACAGTACCTTTATGGTTCATATAGTTGAGATTCTCTTGTGGAAGAGTATGATAAGAATGGAGAAATGGTGCATGGTGAACTGTCTGCTGATCACATTCACATACACAGTGCTCCTACACTAGTGCCTCTAACTTCTTTTGAGCTCAGAAGCTGACAGCTGTCTAAACATAAGTTTAAAGAATATGGGTGCAGCATTTAACTTCCTCCATCCATCTTCCCATTTACTCCACTAAATTAAATCATATTAGTTTTATTTTCTTTCTTTCTCTTTTGCCCGCACAGTTTCTCCAAACTTCCTCTGTTTTACCACTGTTGTCTATGATTCATTCCAGTAACTCAGTCTAAATTTTGCCCTTTCTCTTTTTGCTTCAGAGTTTCTTTAATTTAATTTCATTAATACTTTTTTCCTTTCAACTTTTATTAACTATTGTCTTTTATTACACCATTATCCAGTGAATGTCACTTCTATCATCATCATAACAGTTATATCTCTTTATTTCTACTGTCCTCCTGCTGGTTTTCAGTCCTCTTCCCTACAACTGAGTAGAAGATGTACCTATTTTTTTCCTGGGAGGCCTGGAAATTAGAAACTATACTGAAATACTTCTTGTTGGCTGCCTTAGAGGTAGCAACACTAACAGTTTCAAGGGGTTGCAAATCCTTACGTTTTCTCCCTCTAGCTAGAAGCTAGATGGTTTTTGGTGAGATGCTGCTCACAAAGCAATTACTAACTAAACTGTGGTAATTAGAAACAGACTTTCAAGTAATATTTTGGAAAAGTTGTCCTGGAGTTTCATTCCTGAGCATTAATACCTAGCAAATGCCTAAAATGGTTAACAGGAATATTTAATTATTACTACACTAATAAAAGATAATTGTAATCTATGTTGTCTTAACAGACAAACAAAATAATTTTGTAGTATACTACCAGACATATCTTAAATGTTGTACACGTCATAATTTCCATACTGATTTTTAGGTAGTCTTCCTATTTGATTTGATGCAGCATCTTGGTTTGTTTAAGACACTTCATCAATCATCCACTGTCTCCTAAATGGAGGAAACCAGAAGTACTAACTTCAGGAAATGTGGCAAGAATACAGTGAGGAAGATAGCATGTCCTGACTGTATTGTCCTCTAAAAAAGGTGAAATTAGCCCATATGGTTCTTCTAGTAATTGTGTACACCAGGGATATTTACAGCAGCTGGGCCTAATTATATTGAATATTATTGCAGCTGTTACCTGCCCAACTCCTCCGCAGATCTCTAATGGAAGGTTGGAAGGAACAAACTTGGACTGGGGATTTAGCATTAGCTATGTCTGCTCTCCAGGATATGAACTCTCTTTTCCTGCTGTTTTGACTTGTGTTGGGAATGGAACATGGAGTGGTGAAGTACCTCAGTGTTTACGTAAGTATTTGCTTTATAGTCCTGTATTTTGCTATTCAACTATAGTGGGTTTTTTTAAATTTTCACTTTTTTTTTTTTCCTGAGTCCCTTCTTACCCCTCCATCCTGCAGTGGCTCAATTAATTTTAAACCTGGGGCAAGTACAATCCTTCCAAAAATTCCTAAAATTCCTACAGTTTTCCAAAATTATAATGTAAATAGTAGATTGAGGAAGTCGTAGGAATATCTGTGTGTGCATGTAGGAGTCCTCAGACAAAAACACATGCAAATAATGTTATTGGCAATGCGTACAAAATGATCTAAGGCAATCCAAGATTAAGAGGTGCTGTCTTGTTTTCAGATCCAATACATATAGAATAGAATAACTTTCATTATAATCTCTTTTATTTCCTCATTACTCATCCTAAACTTTCTGTGATGTCACAGAGAAATTTTTCTGCCTGCAATGTTGACTAGGCCCCAGGGTGATTCTGTGGGAATTGTCTATTTTTTCCCCACACTAAATTAAGTTACATATTTTATGCAGTAAATTTTGTTAATCTGAAAGTTATAACATTGATGAATTTTTGTATTGCTACAAATTTCATTACAGAAAGAAAGAAATCTTTTTAAAGTAATTGTAATATTCAGTTGATTGCACTGAAGAAGGAGGTACTGTAGTTATTTGTAGAATAGCTATACTACCCTGTATTGGTATTGAGAAAGGAGTCTAACTGGAAGAGGATAATATCATATTCTTGGCTTTACATTTTCTGCAGTTTAATTCAAACTTGCCAAGAAGCTGAGCTTGCCAGGTAGCTTGCTAAATGTTGCAAAATGCACTTCTCTATTCTTATACTATTTTTTGCATTTTTAATCTTTCCCTTTCAAAAATGTTCTCTATTTTGGCTATATCCTACTACTGTAAAAGCATATCATGTAGATAATCTTTTTCTTTTTTTCCCAATTACATTCCTATATCATCGACAACATTTTTTTAGTGCTGCTGAAACTGTATGTGCCAGAGGTGGAACATGATGAAAGGCTTTTTTTTTTGCAAGAAAAAAACTCCAACATTTGATGCTTAAGTTCTCTATGTGGAGCTCCTTTAGAGTCCGCCGTATTATGAACAACAAAGACCATGAAAAATCATTTTCATCATTTGTTCTTGATTGAAATATGGTATTCTTTATTCATTTTTGGATACCACAAGCTGTTTGTGATTTTTGAAGTTGGAATACTCAATACTGCAACATACTCTGAAAAAGCAGGCTCCACCTTTAAACTTTTTAATAGGTATATTTGCCACAGAATGCAGCTGCCTGGGACTTAAAGGCCGTTTCATGCAGAGATTACATTAACTGAATGTTGTTGATGTGCAATGGTTACCCATTGGCTTGCAAAAGAAAACAATTGGCAGCCAGTACTTGTCAAAGAGCTTAAGCTAGCTGCCATCTGGCAGAAATGAGAGGGAGCTGGTGAAAGTCATTCTCAATGAGCAATCTTTAAGCAGTTCTTGACATCAGAAATTTAGTTCCCAGCTTGGTTCCATAGAGCCTATAGCTGAAGAGATGCAAGGTCTAGTTATAACATGGATTAATTATCCAGAGCGGAATATGGTCATGTCCCTGGTTGAGTATTTGTCATCTATGACCCTGTAAATTTGTTTGCTTAATTACTCATGCAGTAATTTCAGTAAAGGACTGCTGGTTTTATAAGCTTGGCAATAGATGGCAAAAATGTAGGCCTATGCCAGAAAAGTCCTAACTACAGATATAACTTAGAATCATAGAACTATCATGGAATCATATAATATAATGAATTGGAAGGGACCCACAAAGATCATCGAAGTCCAAGTCCTGGCCCTTCACAGATCAACCCCAAGAATCACACCATGTACCTGAGAGCATTGTCTGAATGTTTCTTGAATTCTGTCAGTCTTGGTGCCATGACTATTTCCCTGGGGAGCCTGTTGACCCTGAGATTAGCTCAGTTGGTTAGAGCATAGTAGTAATAATGCCAAGATCATGGGTTCAGTCCCTGTACAGGACTAAATTAATTTAAGAGTTGGACTCACTGATCCTTGTGGGTCCCTTCCAACTCAGAATATTCTGTGAAGTCTGTGAAGTTCCAGTGCCCGACCATCCTCTGGGTGAAGAACCTTGATATATGACCTAAACCTCCCCAACTCATCGTCATGCCATTCCCTCGTCCTTAAGTCACTGTCTCACCAGAGAGAAGAGACCAGTACCTGCTGATGCCCTCTCAGCTGGTGCTACGAAAAAATTCAGGAGCCGTAAGCTGGGGTGAGATAAGAAAGGGTTTAATTATGCCAAGGCAATAGATGTTACACGGCGCGCCGGGCTGTGCCCGAGATGTTACATTTATAACAATATCTGGCCAATCCTAAGTGTGTCCACCCTATAACTTTTGGCCTGGTCCACCCCCTGGCCCGCCTCTCGAAATTGGGTCTGGGGTGCTTTTTGGGACCCCCTCTTCATCATCTTCTTCATCTTCAGCGTACAGAGAGCAGGGTGACCCAGTTCTTTGACTCTGTCCTGCGGTTTAGGCCAAGATACAAGCGTTCTCCAAACAAGACAGGCCTGCCTTGACTAAAAGACTAAACATTTTCTACTAGATATGGGGATAGGGTGATATAGGGAGTATGGAATGGGGTGAAAGGATTGAGGAATATAAACTAAGGGATACTACGGGGAGGAGGGAGAAAGGGGTTTATTTCTAAAATCTACTTCTATTACCTATAAAACTTGTAAGGCTTATAAAATTAGAAAAATGAAAAAAAACCTTAGGGGTTTAAGGCATCACTGCCCCTCCACTTCTCCTTGGAAGAGGCTTTAGACCATGATGTGGTCTTTCCACAATCTCTTCTCCTTTAGGCTGAACAGACCAAGTGACTTTGGCCACTCTTTGTATGGCTTCCCCTCAGGGCTTCTTTTGAACACTCTCAAATAGATTAATATCCTTCTTATGTTGTGAAGCCCAAAACTGCACAGAGTGCTCAAGGTGAGGCCACACCAGTGCAGAGTAGAGTTGGACAATCACCTCCTTTGACCAGCCGATGCCCCCCAGGACACGATTGGCCCTTCTATCTCCAGGGCTCTGCTGAATCATATTCAACTTGCTGTTGACCAGGACCCCTAGGTCCCTTTCTGCTCTGCTGCTTTCCAGCAGCAGTGCCCCAGTCTGGATGTACATCCAGGGTTGTTCTGTAGTATTTGCAGTTAATATCTGGCAAATTGAAGTCCCCATAAGGACAAGAGCAGTTGATTTAGAGGTCTCCCTTAGTTCATTAAAGAATAATTTGTCAGTGTTGACATCCTGGCTATGTGTAGACTCCCATGATGACATGGGAGTCTTTACGTGTATTCCTTAATTCAAAGGCTCTTAACATGCCATAATGTCCAGGTTTTGGCCAGGACAGGGTTAATTTTTTGCAGTAGCTGGGAGGAGGTGTGGCTAAGGCCCAGATGTTTTTCTATACCACCTTTCATCATTGGCATGAGGAGAAAGGGACTCTTGCTTCAGAGGAGAAGGGCAGGGCTTCTGGTCATGAAAACTGTCATGGATTGGGTCAGGCTCCGAGGTGAACATTTTGCATGTAAATCACCCCTCTCTTTTGTACACTTTTGTTATTAATATTGTTGCTGTTACTGTTTGCTTTCTTTTCTCATTGCTGTTTCTAGTAAATTGTTCTTATCTCAACCCGTGATCTTTGCCTTTTATGCCTCCAATTCCCAATTCTATCCCCCCACAGCAGGAAGGGAAAACGGGGTTGGGGGGTGGGCAGGGAGCAAAAGAGAGTGGTAGTATGGTTTTGGAGAGTCTTTGTGGGGGCACTTAATTGGGGTGTACCATTCCTAAACCATGACACATAACCAACTGCAAGCTCCATAACCCCTCCGCCCACCGTAGTCTCCCACCTCACTTGCCCTGCCTATCCCTCCTGAAGAGTGTGTAACCCTCCATCCTGGCACACTAGTCACAGCACTCATCCCACTAGGTTTTGGTTATGCCAAGGATGTCATATTTCTGGGACTGAGTCAAGGCTTCTAGCTCCTCTTGCTTGTTCCTCATGCTGCATGTGTTGCATGTAGGAACATTACAATATTGTTCATTGCACCCAGTGCCTCATGAAGCAGACTGAAGGATCTCACTAGCATGCACTTCCTCAGACTTTGGGCATGTCATCCCACTGCTAGTGTGTCATCCCAGGTGAGCCTGGTTTTTTTCCCTTTCACTCTTCCAGTGCAGTTTCAAGCTCTATTGGTCAGCCCTGCTAACTCCCACACAAAAATCCTTTTCCCTTTCTGAAAAGGATGCATCCCATCAGGTTGAAAAACCTGAAGTTCCCCCAATGACACACCCTCAGAGCCATTTGTTGACCAGTTGAGTCTGCCTATTCCTTTCAATATTCTTCCCTGCTACCAGAAGGATCGAAGAAAACACTAGTTGTCCTCCTGAGCCTTCCAACAATTGCTCTAAGGCCCTGAAATCTCTTTTTGATCACCACTGGACTTCTCTTTGCTACCTCATTCCTGTGGATATGAAGAACAGCAGATACTAATTAAAGGGCTGTACCAAACTAGAGAGTTTTCTTTCTAGAGAGTCCCTTACCAGGCCCCAAAGAGGCAGCAGGCTTCCTTATGGGTTAGGTCTGGTTGGCATATTGGGCCCTTGGTTTCACCTCAGAAGGGAGTCACCTGTGAAAATTGCCCTTCTTTTTATTTGACAGAGGTGGTCATAATGTGAAGGGTAGGCTATCTTGCCCTAGATGACCCTTTCAATCCCAGAAAGACCTTCATCTGCATCTTCAGTTATCAGTCCACCCAGTTCCAGGGCCTCATACCTGTTGTATAAGGGCTCTTGGGAAGGTGAGGCAGGCTGGGAGGGGATTTGCATGTGCCCCCTGAGTAGGAATTAACCTACTTCCATTTCCCCTCATCTCTTAGGCCCCCTCATTCTGCCTGGTGATGAGAGGGTAAGGGATCCTTTCTTTCTTTTGTCATGGCTGGCTGGTGTGTCCATCTCAGGGATATGAGTACACCAGTCCATCTCCTTGTCTGATGCTCATCAGCCTGAAAACCTCCTCATGAAGCTCTGCCACCACACTGAGCAACATCTCACCTGGGCACATCTCCCACAGGTGCTCTCACTGCTGCCATCAGACACTGACAGGAAATGTGCTGTTAATCAGTTAAATTTCTTTTAAGAAAGAAGTCTCAGTGCCAGAGCTCCATGGTCCTGCCTTGTTAAAGGCTCTCAGAGTCCTTAGGAAAAGTTCCATTGGAAGTGGAAGCATTCATAGAGCTTCCAGTTTGCTGCAACTTTATTTTGTTCTGTAGTCCCCTGTTCCAATATCAGAGGAAAATGGCTGTGTTTTACCATGATGTCTGGTTTCCATGGTTACCTACATAAAAGGTAGATATTCAGTAGTTATTCAATGACTAGGTAAAGTTGACTGACAACTAAGTGGTGGATTTTACCTAGTTTTAGAAAAAATGAATAAATTTATGAAACCTTCATTTTTGAATGCGAGAATGGTTTTTCCCTTGAGAATTGCTACTTCATTGATGCAAAGAACTGTTTAGGGGACAATTTCAAGCCACTGTGTTAAAAATTTATAAGTGTTTCATGTATTTTCAAATTAAGACACAGAATTTTCTAGTGAAACCATGATCTGTCATTCATACAATGACGTACACTATGTGGCACTATCCCCAAATGATAGGTTCTGGTATGCTACAGATTAAGTCCTTTTTTTTTTCACCAGTGTTTGTGAACTATATGGATTTCCCATAGAGTCAGTGCCTGTGGTAAGAGGAGAGCAGGAGCATTTCATGTGAGCGGGTCATTTGTAAAGCTTAAAACATAGGTGACAAAGATAGAGATATTAGAAATACATTTTGATGGTTGTTGTTTGAGAGATGTAATATAAATTTTGTTCATAGAAAAGAAAGATGAAGCATGAAATTCCACTGTCTGTACAGCATACCTTTTTAGAAATACATCATTGCACACATACAAGTTAGTTTTTTTAATGATTATTACAGTATTTTATGTTTGATATGAAATTAGACTCCACAATATTGGAATCCGTAGTGTGTCAGGAAATAATATAGTCTGATGACCCAGGGTTTACCATAGCTGATTTAATTTCCTGGATCAATTATTCAAAATCCAGCTTCTGACAATAATCAGAACTTTATACCGGAGAAGACCAGTAAATTTGCCAGCAGTGCATTTACTGAGTTATGACATGTTATAGACATCGAGACTCATTAGGTGATAGGTATAAAGTAAAAATTTCAATTTAAAAATAGATTTTTATCAGTGAAATTTACCCTGTCTAATAACAGTTTATTAGTATTCGATTTTTAAATTGTTGCAGAAATTTCTTTGTTTGTTGGTTTTTTAAATTTTATCATTGTTAGCTGTACTAACTTTCAAGTGTTTTACTTCTATACATACCAAACCTTACCTTTCAGTGAAGGATGAGAAAGTAAGACTTCACAATTCCTAAAATCTATCTCACAAATATTTTAATCATACAAAAATGTTCAGCACTAGGTAGGTGTCAGAAAGGAGGAGGGGAGGGGAGATTGAGAAAGTTTTGTGTAATCTCTGATTGCTTTTTGTAGATTGGCAGATTGATGTGGTTTGGGGCAGAAGTAAATTGTGGATGTTTGAACATTAATAAATAAGTTGTCAACTTGTTTATAAAGTTTCAGGTATTGACTAAGACCACTATGAAGGCATTTTGAAAAACTAGCAAACCTACTGCAATCAGGCAGACTAAAGATTGGCTGTCTAGTCTCTCTGAACTCCTATGAAGTGTTTCCATATTTGATCTGTGTTTAATAAAATAAATATAAAATTTGAAGTAATTGCTTGACTGTGTTCAGCTAAATATTAATTTTATGTTTTTTTAATTAATGACACATTCCATTTCTATCATATCTTTTTTCACAGCAAAGTTTTGTGGCGACCCTGGAGTACCTGCTCAAGGGAAAAGAGAAGGCAAAAGCTTCATCTATCAGTCAGAAGTCTCTTTCAGCTGCAATCCTCCTTTTGTTTTGGTTGGCTCCAGCACCAGGATTTGCCAAGCAGATGGCACATGGAGTGGGTCTTCTCCTCGATGTATAGGTATGGTTTTAGTCATGTATTGTAATTTTTTGAAATGCTTATTATTCCTTTTCCAGATAAGGAACTCAATCTAGGAGTTTTCAGTTATTTTGAATTAACCTGGAGTTATTCTGTACTCTGTAAGAATCAAGTCACATTATTTTTGTCTCTGTGTTGGCTTACTGCATGTTGTTGAACAAGGTTAATGTTGTGATACATTCAAGTATTTAATTAAAATGCTGTAATATGTTTTGTCTTTAATGTACTGTAATTTTTTTTAAGAACCTACTCGCACAGCGTGTGAAAATCCAGGAGTCCCAAGACATGGGTCACAAAACAACACATTTGGCTATCAGGTAGAGTATACTATTTTTTATTAACTTCCACATTAAAATACTTTTGTACTACCTCAAAGTCTAGAAGCTTCTGGTTATAGGTTCAGAAACTTCTTTTGTAAGAGCTCTTTGCTGCAGTGTTGCTGTTTCCTTATTTCTAGCTGTTGGATTACACTGACCTTGTGTCCATATTAGCAATGTGAAAAACAGGTGATCAAGTTCTGCTTGAAGCCTTGAAGGCTTCCAGTATCTCCTGCCAATATATATAAGTGCTCCCTAAAATTTATCAATTAGGCTTTTTCTGCTTAAAAATGTGTATACTGTGTGCCAAATTGCTAATGCAGACGTACTTTAAAAAGCGGGATTTTTATTTTCCTGGGAACAATTGTGTTGATACACTGTTTTTGGAACCACAAATGAATTACAGAGTCACAGATGCTGTTGGGCACCTCTGGAGACCTCCTAGTCCAACCCTTCTTCTTCAAGTAGGATCTGCTAGAACAGGTTTATCAGGACTGTGTCCAGGTGGTTTTGAATATTTCCAAGGATGGAGACTTGACAGTATGTCTGGGCAATCTATTCCAAATTGATCGCCCTTAGAGTGAAAATGAACACTTTTTTCTTAAAGAGAATTGCCTATGTTTCAATTTCTACTTATTTCCTTATTTCCCGTCAGTGGGCACCACTGAAGAAAAATCTGTCACTATTGCCTGTCCTGCCCCCAGGTTTTTTTACAGACTGGATAATCTCAGCTCTTTCAGCTGCTCCTTGTGTTCCAGATGCTCTAGTCCCTTAATCACCTTTGTGGCCCATCACTAGACTCGGTATAGTACTGTCCATGTCTCTCTGGCACTGGCAAGCCCAGCAATGAACCCAGCATTCATTTGTGTCTCACCAGGGCTGAGCAGAGAGGAAGAAGCACTTCCCTTGACCTGTTGTCAATGCTCTTCCTGATGCATCCCAGGAGGCTATTGGCCATGTTTTCTACAAGGCTGTGTTGTGGCAAATTGTGTTTGCATATGTTTCTGTTGGAAAAAGAACTGTAAAATTGAAAATTATTTTGAACTTCTTATTTTCTGATTCACACAAAACAGTCATGCCAGTGAGACATTTTCATGAGTGAATGGTTTACAGATGCAAAAATGCACTCTATAATTTGCTAGGAATCTTGCAAACAAAGAGAAAGCCTAATCTATCCTGCTACATCTGTGTTTGGTGTCAGGGTGGAAAGCTCCAGTCCTATGAGGAGGACCGGACAGAAGAGTATAGTAGCAGCTCCAAAGGTGTATGAGGTGCCTGTCTAATAACAGAAGAATAAAATCTGCACATTGCTAGAAATGCAAGAAAGGGTTGAGTGAAATTTAAACGAATTTACAAAATCTAGTCAGTTTTTAAAAGCCAGGACTGTAGCTAAAGACTTTTCAAAGTTCCATGGCTAAAAATTTATTTGGTTTATCCTTTTTGGTGGCTATTATGCAGTACTACTCCTGTTTAGTGATTATTTTAGCAATATTTAGGTTTTTAGATTGTGCTAGATCACAATCATATGCAAGTGAAAATAAAGTTGTCTCAGTTTTCTCTAGGGACTGAAATGCTGTTTCATGCCAAGATAGAACACGCAGGAACAGTCTAAGGTTAACTTCCTTTGGTTATAATACAATATTATGCTAGAGGGCAACTCTTAATTCAACTATATAACAAATAAATCATTGTAATGACCATTTTCTACAATTTTATTGTCACAGTTTCTCTTGCATATTAATGAGCTTTCTCGCCTTGACGAAGCTAATGCAGTCTTTCTTGTGTAATTGTAGTTGTGAGTAAAAGCATCACTTACAGCTAGCATGAAAATATCAGGCAAAATGTCAACTGACAAATCATTTCTAAAAGAAGTGTACCTCCTCTCAGAATGTACAACCTTGTAAATTCTAAAAAACCCAAGTTGTAAACAGCTGTAAGGTTAGTGCCTAGCATATTTAAGCTATGTGAGCTATAGTCTCCTTACCTAGCCAGCAACTTTTCTGCACACTCACATGTAGTAACTAAACATGCAATTTCTGATTATCTAAGTATGATTGCTTAGCTAATACAGAACGGGGTAAAAGTATCATTCATACAGATGAAGCTGTGAAACAACAGTGAAAATCATTGCTTCTAGACAAGTTATTGTCCGTAGATCCCGGAAAGAAATTGCATTATCATAAATACTTTAATGTTATGATTCATATAAACCACAAAAATATTATAAATGAATTTATATAATGTTATAATTAACTTCCTGCATAAACAGGATAATAGTGACTTTTGCTTTTGTCCACAGCAGAAAGGTAAAGAATAATTCTAAATTGTCCCAAAATACTAAAGATTAGATGGCTTTGATTTTCATTTGTCTGATAGATCCAATTATCTACCATTTAAAAAAACAGACCAAAAGAACTTACGTAAAATTAAGCAAAATGTTGCATTTGCAATTGGCAAATGCATAATAAGGAGTTGTTATTGCTGAATATATGATAGTTTTCTCATCAGCTCAGGGTGAGGAGGTTTTTTTTTGTTTTGTTTGAGGGTTTTTTTTGTTTTTGTTTTTAGTGGGGGTTTTGTTTGGTTTTGGGTTTTTTTTGTTGGTTTGTTTTGTTCTGTTTTTGTTTGGGTTTTTTGTTTGTTTGTTTTTTTTAATTTTGTTTTGACTCTCTTAAATACTTCATATTTCAACTAATATTAATAGGGTCACTTAATTGACTTAATTGTCAAGGTTTAAATTTATGTCTCTGTCCCATTTAAAAAATAAAAATAAATCAAGCTTTGAAAGTTCAGGCAAACACAACACAATTCCTGGCTTGACTTAAGGGTGTATCTAAACCTGACCTCCTGGAACCTACACTAACAAAAGCACAAATATCACCATGTCACATTTGAATGGTGTTTCAACTATTAAATGAGGAATTTGTAGAAAAAGAGGCAACAGAATTTTGTACGGATTTTATTGGTCAGTATCAAATTCTTTGGGCAGAAGCAGATCAGGTTCCTGTGTGTTCAAATGACATCAAAATACCAATTTAGTGCTCCTTGGATATGGGGCATGGCATGTAAATTAGTAGCATCACCTGCTTTAAGTGTTATGAATACATACTTCTAGGATGTTAACTTCCATCTAGCATTTTTTATTTGACAGATCTACCTTAACAGTGTGTCACAATAGAGACAAAATACCTTTAGAACTCAGTGAATACTGACTTCAACTGTAATCTGGAAAATAAATTGCTCCTTGGAAAGAAACTGTTGGTTTTGAAATATTTCTTCAGCCATATTGCTAGTAACATAGAAAATTGCTTATAGCACTTTCACCATGAGCTGTTGTAACACAAGATACTACTGAATTGAAGAAGCAGTTTAGGACTGCCCAGAGCAGTCAGTCAAATATGTAAGATTTATTTCTTCTCATACTTTTCCAATATATGTTTTTGTAGAAATTCAGCTATTTTTCCGTACATTAAGGCCTAAATTGAGCAAAAGGGCTGTCTGAATTTAGAAAGGAAAATAGACACATTACAGTGGTGGTAGCCCTGTACTAGCTCTTGGTTTCTATTTTATGAAATGCCATATGAAACTTGACCTGCAGATGCTGAGCAACCTTGCAAATAGTCTCCTTCTGTTAATGTAATGCTTATAAAATCTTTAGTGTTGATTGAATTATAGGATAAAATTCCAAGAGAAGTGCTCTACTACCACAGTATAGCTGTCTCCATTAGCAGAGTTGGCACCATCACTGCATCAATGAAAATGTAATTTAAGCCTTATCAGACACCATGTATTTTTCCTGGTTTCTTCTCCATCTCGTGGTCCTGAGGTCTCTGGTGTCAGTGAGGGATGTTAGTGTCACAGTCTGGAGTGCTTGACTGGCAAGAATGTGCTTTTTCCTTTTTTTGCAACTCAATGACACTGCAACCCCACACTATATTTCAATCTACACAATAAGATACATTTCACCTGTGTTAGATACTTGTTCTTTTTTTACTCCTGAAACCCGATTCTGGACAGTGATGGGTGAGTTGTTCACAGCAATGAGTTCTCCAGGGCCAAGCCTGTGTTGCATCTCTTATCGTAATCACACCTGTAGTCTTCTTCACAGCATCCTTTTGTCTCCATTTCTCAAGGGCTTTGCTATCATTCCAGCACCAGGCCTGTATTTCTCTGTCCCACATTAGTGGGAAATACCTCCTCCTGTACATGGTAGATCCTTTTTTTACTGCTATGAATAGCAGTAAAACTGTGGTTGTACCATACAAAGATCAAGAAAAGCATAAAAACTAGTCATAGACACCTGATCACAGTAAAATTGGGTTTTACAGCTAAATCGAGTTTAAAAAAAAAACAAGCCAAAACCAAATACAAAATTCCAAGCAGTTCAAGACACTTTCAGACAAGGGAAGCCTGACAAGCCTCTGCTTAGAAGTCTTGGTAACTCAAGACCCTGTAACTAATAATGGCAATTATCTATTACTGGACTACCAAACTATAGATATAGCAAAGACTTAATGAGGTGTGTTTTCATTCACTTAAAATGTGATGCTAAAAGCTAGTGAATAGAAATAACTGACATTCCTTTAGCTTCTCAATCTTTTGGCATGAATTGCTGGGGTTGAAGAAGTTTGTTAGAGTATCTTCAGAATCTCTAATAAACTGAAATCTAAGACAAACCTTGATTGTAGAGTAACTCATAACAGTTAGAAGTATCTTCTATTCCTATAAGGCATATAAGAAATAATAAATAAGAAATAATAAACATAATAGCTTATTATTATTCTTATACATTATTATTATATTATTTGGTGAAAAAATTATCTGGGATACCTTATAACCAGATGCAGGTTGATATTTATGCATTTTCTTCTCAGATTGCTATTTCTCCTGTTTGAGAATAACAAATATATGGCCTTTGGGTTTTAGCAAAAAAAAAAGTTAGCAATGTTGATTGGGGAATATCCAAACCACAACTGACACTCCAGAAAAAGCTGTGGAACAGATAGGATCAAGCGTTATACAAGGAAAATTTTTTTTCAGGACTGGATGCAAACACTGTTGCATGTAGAACAGTTCTTCCCTAACACCAGAGTACTAATGCTTCTATTCAAGCTGTAGAACAAAAAATTAAAGCAAATCAGAAAATGCTGGGAATCTTTTAAGAGCATAGAATCCTGTATTGTAGTGCCACCTGGTGTCTCCAACCCAAAAATATTGCAAAACAGACTTCATGAATTATTTTAAAATTACTTTTATTTGTTTAATAATTATTATGCATAAACTACATAATTAATATAATATATTAATTATTGCATATTGCTTGCAATTTTTTTTTCATTTATTCATTGTCTTGAATGACAGCAACTTTAAAACCTCTTCGTCCCTTCGGCAACTGTTGCTTTTTTGGTGCTACTTTGAGGCTTACACATATAACAGCTATATTTCTTGTGAAATCATAGATTAATAAAATCATAGAGTCATAGAATGATGGAATAGTTTGGGTTTGAAGGGACCTTAAAGATATTTACTTTCAGCCCACCTGCTCTGGCCAGGGACACCTTGCACTAGACCAGGATGCTCAGAGCCCCTTCCATCCTCGACTTGAACATTTCCAGGGATGGGACAATAGCAACTTCTCTGGGAAACCTTTCCAGTGCCTCACAACCCTCACAATAAAGAATTTCCTCCTAATATCTAATATAAACCTACTCTCTTTCAGTTTGAAGCCACTCCCCCTTGTTCTGTGACTTCATGCTCTTGTAAAAACTCTCCCTCACCTTGTAGGCTCCCTTCAAGTACTGAAAGGCTGCAATTAGGTCACACTGAAGCCTTCTTTTTTCCAGGCTGAATAAACCCAATTCTCTCAGCCTTTCCTTGTATGAGAGATGCTCCTACACATAATCATGTTGGTGGCTCTCCTCTGAACTCATTCCAACAGGTCCATATCTTTCTCTGCTAAGGGCTCCACAGCTGGATGCAGCACTCCAGGTAGGGTCTCACCAGAGCAGAGTAGAGGGACAGAATCACCTCCCTCGATCTGTTGCCCACACTGCTTTTGATGCAGCCCAGGATGCAATTGGCTTCTGGACTGTAAGTGCTCGTTGACAGCTCATGTCCAACCTCTCATCCATCAGCACTCCCAAGTCCTTCTTGGAAGGGCTGCTCTTGATCTATTCATCCCTCAGCTTGTATCGGTACTGGGGGTTGCCCTGACCCAGATGCAACACCTTTCACTTTGTTTAATAAAACCTCATGAAATTCCTCTGAACCCACTTCTCAGGCTTGTCCAGGTCCCTCTGGATGACATCCTGTTCTTCAGGAGTGTCAATCACACCACTCAGCTTAGTGTCATCTGTAAATTTGCTGAGTGCACTCAATACCTTCATCTATGTTATTAATGGAGATATTAAATAATATTGGTCCCAGTATGGACCCCTGAGGGACACCACTTGTCACTGATGTTCATCGTGACTCTGAGTCATTGACCACTACCCTCTGGAGGCAACTCCACAATCACTTTCTTATCCATCTAACAGTCCACTCATTGAATCCATCTCTCTCCAATTAGAAAGAAGGATGTTGTGGGGGACTGTGGAAAGGCCTTACAGAAGTCCAGATAAATGATGTCTTTAGCCCTTCCCTTTTCCACTGATGTAGTCACATGAACACAACTTTCATAAGGCTAGTGCTTTTTGTAAATAATATATTGTTGGTGGTTGTTTTAACTAAGTTCTTTACCAGAAAACAAAACAAAAAAAATACTTCTATACCTATTTGATGCAACTTTTAAAACCTGTAGCATTTTACTACTTTGTGCTTAATCATGCAAGTGATTTAGCATATTTTCTTCAAAATCTTTTAAAAGTAATTACATAGTCCAGTGAGCAGAGAAAAGAGCAAAAAAAGGGAAATGAATTTTAAATCACATCCTCTGTTGATGAGCTACTATCTGTAGTTCATGAGTTATTATTAAATTTCATTCTGATGAGCAGCTTGAGCTGAAATGGAATAGCACTATAAAGTTTCAAATGAATACTTGTATAAGTGAAATACCATTTTCCAGGACTAAACTATTATGAAAGAATCCACATTTTACCTTTGAGCATCAGTCTGAATAAAGTATCATGCATTTAAACAAAATAATGAAAAAAACCAAACCCAAACCAGAACCATAAATGGGATGTCACAGACAGTTTAAAGGTTTCAACTTCTTGTTTAAACATGAGTTGATAAATATATTAACACAGGTCACTGCAGAACAGTAGATACAATCTGTGCACCATAATATTTGAGTTAACCACTCACAGTATGTAATAAACTGCTCTCTGAATGATATCCTTGTAATCTAATTTCCTTGCTTTTGATAAAAACTAAGTAGTATTTGCATTTTCATCAATTTTACCATGACTGGACATCCTGAACAGGTTATTCCATTTTATTTGGAATATTTAATATTTGTTCCGAAACTGTAAGAATTCTATTTTCCTTTTTATGTAACACATACCTATTATAAGAATAATAATTAAAAATTATCTCAGATGAATTGCTATTATAATTGTAGTGTACTTGTGTTCCAGTTTCTATTATCAGTGTGGCATAAAGAGCACTTATTCTTTATCTCCTGTCACCAAAAAAAAAAATTAAAATATTATAGGAACATTATAATTTCTGAAGCAGGAGACAGTGTTGTTGACCAGCCCTATCTGTTCTAATGAAATATTTATCATTATAACTTGTGAATATATCAAGCATTCCACAACAGGGGGGTCTAGTTCAGCCAAAGTCCAGTAGAATCTAAAATCCATTTCAGCTCTGGGACTTCCATGGTTTGCTACAATTTTGCCTAACTGGTTCCTCCTTGGTCCAGAGTTAGGAAACTACCATAAACTTTGTTTCCAAAGTCACAAGGCCTCAACTGTTCCAGGCCCAAAGCGACACACCAGAGAGACCATAGAAGATGAGGTTTTGATTTCTTCCAGAGGGGATTATCAGTTTGGGGAGAGGTAATTTTTTATTTCCTATCAAAATGCTCTGTGAAATTAATTTACTTTTTACAGAACGAGAATCACAACTTATCAAGTATGTGTTATGCAAAGGAGTGATCAAATTTGGAAAAAAAATATCAACTGATAGTTCCTCATAACAATAGTACTGTGTTTTCTACTTTTCAACAGGTGGGAAATGTTGTTCAGTTTCAGTGTAAAAAAGGACACCTTCTCCATGGTTCAACAACACGAACATGCCTTCCTGATCTTACATGGAGTGGAATCCAGCCAGAATGCATACGTAAGTAAATGGTAGAATTTTTTCCCATCTTTTTTTTTTTTTAATCTAGGCTATTTAGTTGCAGTAACATTGTTATAAAGTTAATTTATTCTATATGGTTTATTAATTGAAAGTTAATCGAAATTTGCATTACTAGCTTATAACAGCTAGAAATATGATTTTGCGAGTGAATTTTTATACAATACACTATAGAAATTTTTAAAAAAAGAGAGAAAATAAGCAGATCTTCATCCCCAGTCAGTTTCTATCTAAGAGGGTGTGACCCTGGCAATGCACAGAGGAGGTAATGAGAACAGGACATATTGGAAAGCCCTATTCTAAACTATGTAGGAAAGTATATAATTAAAATCAGTTCTACCTAAGAGTTTGAACTGTTTCTCAACTGAGGAGTAATGGCATTTTAAAAGGGGGAAAATGAGTTGGCAGTTGGAAAATTTTGAATCTGAAGAGAGAAATCTTCTTACTTGAATATGGAAAGTAGCCCTTCATTTCATAGATCTTTTACACTTTGGTAAATAGTGATAATTTACTGAATATATAACATCATGGTAAATTTTTCTAGTTCAGCTAGTCAGCTGTATTTTTTTGGAAATCATCTTATCTAATAAGGTTTGACCTTATAGAATCACTTCAGTGAATGGAGAACACATCCACAGAAGAAAATAGCATTAGTATTATTTCAGTTGGTGTTCATGTTAATCTTAAGCAAACAGCAAATCAGTAGCTCAGTGTGTTGAAAGGTGAACTCTGCTCTTGGAGGTATTCTCTCCTTGAGATAACACATAACTGGCAGATTCTGGTGGTTGTTAAATATATAAGGCTCTTCACATGAGATTAGAAATGGTAATTATTTTTTCTGCCTGATATTTATGACTCACCCTCAATTTCTCCTTGACCTTTCATAGTGGTTTTCAACTGACCCATTTATTTACTGTTATTCAATGCTACACAGATATCGTAAGTGATATAAATCACACGACATGATTGCTTTTAAGTCTGGTATGATGTTTGCTGTTTCTGTCCTCTTATGCAGACAATTAATTTTGTTCATGCAAGTGCATTTCAGTCAGTTCTTGGTCCCTTGGAATTGAGAGATCCATGTTTAAGAGTGTATTTACGGGCTCATAGTGATACCTTATAGATTATATAGTAACTTATAATGTGAATTAAAATATGTTAATGTAATTTTTTATTGATTTCTTTTTACTTTGTTAATTAACTGTCAGAATGGGCATAGATTATTTTTTCAGAAATATTTTCCCCATTTTGACTGAAGGATATTTTATCTTTTCTTTGTAGCTCACAGCTGTAAACAACCAGAAACACCAAGTCATGCTAATGTTGCAGGAATGGATCTTCCCTCACTTGGTTATACATTGATTTACACTTGTCAGCCAGGCTTTTTCCTGGCAGGAGGTTCAGAGCACAGAGCCTGTAGGTCTGATGGCACATGGACTGGGAAGGTTCCAGTTTGTGAAGGTAAGCTCTTCTGTTTCCCACTGCATATTTTGGTGATTTTCTTTACTTGCAGTTGGCACATGCAGACCAACAAGTTGATCGGGCCCAGCCAGCATGTTTTTATGAAACGCAGGTCCTGCATGACTAACCAAATCTTCTTCTATGACAAAGTGACCTGCTTAGTGGTCACTCAGTACTTGGCACTAGTGAGACCACACCTTGAATAGTGTGTATGCTTTTGGGCCCCTCACTGCAAGAAAGACACTGTGTCCAAAGAAGGACAATGAAGGTGGTGAAGGGCCTGGAGCACAAGTGTTATGAGAAGAAGCTGAGGAATCTGGGGGTGTTTATCCTGGGGAAAAGGAGGTTCAGAGGAGACCTTATTGCTCTCTACAACTACCTGGAAAGAGATTGTAGCAAGGTTGGTCTCTTTTTCAAAGTAAGAAGCAATGAGAGAAAATGGCCTAAAGTTGTGCCAGGAGAGGTTTAGGCTACCCAGGGAAGAGATGGAGTCATCATTCCTGGAGGTATTCAAAAGATGTGTAGATATCAATTTAGGGACATGATGTAGTACAGGGCTTGGTAGTGTTAGGTTAACTATAGGATTTTATGATCTTAGGGGTCTTTTCCAACTTAAATGATTCTGTGTTTCTATACTAATATTTGAGAAGGATGCCTGAAGTCCAAGAAGATATCTGAATCACTGTATGAAACTAAACCATAAGGTTTAATAGTATTTTATATTTTAATGTAAGGAACTGTATGCTACTTGAAAACAAAATGTAGCTACTTTGTCCTTGATGTTCCAACCTTTTGTTTTGTTTCTAATTTTTATTACCTACTTTGTCATAGCAGGACATGAAAAACATCATAGACAAGTCATGGTGAGAAAGGTGGTTTTCATATGAGATAAGAAACATCCTCGAGTATAGGAACTGTTTGGAAATCAATTTTCTGAATAATTAAAGGCCTTTTCAGATTACGGTTACCTAATGTTTCAAATGTGGTTATCCCTAGGGCTCTTACAGAGACATTCAAAGCCTCTATACACAAACACTACTACTTGGAAGGAAAATAGGAAATGAATATTTTGTATTACTAAAAAACAGGTGTCCTGGCATTGCATGCCAGGCAAGTGCTGAGGGAAAATAGAGCAGGGCTTTGGAAAAGTATTAGAAAGCTAGCAGCCAGGAAGCTTATGACTTGTTGAGTACTTGGAAAGTGTTATGGCAGGCTAAATGTGACTCATGGGTTGTATTTTGATCCAAGAATTTTTTGCTGATGATATTGAAAGAAGTAGCATTAGTTGTACTACCTGATAGTAAGGAAACATTTAAGATTTTTTAAAGTCTTAAGTAGTTGCTATGAGTGTATCTACATTATCATATAACTTAGTTTCCCAATGTCCTGAAAAAAATGTTACAGAAATTAAATTTTTTTAGGATCAGAGGTCTTTATTCTTGCTCTTTAGCAGTGGATGAAGCTAAGAATGAGCAACATATTGCTAAGTGTTAACTCTAATTAGGTAAAGTAAAATATTTCATTATAAATAATCTCGGTTTTGCCTTTACAGAGAGGTGAAATCTCTATCCTATGGAACAGAGAAAAGCACTGGCTCAGGTTGTTCATCTCTTATTGTGAACTTCACAAAAGTAACTTGGAAATGGATGAAAAGGAATAAAGTATTTGGAGCTGAGAGCTCTAAAAGGATATGTAGGGGAATTAAACTTGAATTTGATACTTTAAATGCAAAATTGAAGTCCTACTCAGAAAATATCTTGACCTAGAAACTTAAACTTCATAGATAACTGGTTTTAGGTTTGGATTTTTATGTAACATTTGTATTTAAATTTTATTTTGTATTTAAAATTTAAATTCTGAACTTGACTAGAAATTTATTCAACTTGACAAGGCTGATTGACTCATCTTTTTATGCTAAAGCCCAATTGGAAAGTATGATTCAGATATTTCTGACCTAAACTTAATGCAGTCAGAAAGCAAATGCTATTGAACCATGCCCTCAAGGTCAACCATGTACAGTGAAGTTCAGTAAGTTTCTTTCAAAACAGAGAAGAGAGATTAATCAATCAGTAGTAACAGTCTATGAGCACTTTAGGTTGAATTTCAACCCCTGCCCTTGCTTATTTATGCTTTTAACATACATGATAAGAAAAAACCTTTTGAAAAAACTAAAATTTATTCTCAAGAAAAATATTCTCAATCTTTCTTGCTAAAGTTTCCTTTTTATGCAGAAAAATACTCCACTCAGGGGAAAAGTAGTTCCTTTCTTGTGTAGCTTTTTAGAGCATGGATCAGAGAGAAAAGGCATGGTCTCAGAGCCAAGACCTAAAATTCATGACTAGGCTTCGCAAACAAAGATTTGAGAAGACCTATAATACAAAATATTGAAATCACCATTAGAACAAGGAGTTGAGCCTAGTGCTGCATGAGAGTATTTTACATTAGGACACAGAATTATGTGTCTTCTTTATGTTCCAGTGAATCCAAATTAGTTTCAGCAAAATAAAATAGCTTCATCTACAGGAAATTACACTGTCCTATGGTGTTTATTTCATCATCTTCAGTGGTGGGAGAGTTCCTGCTCTAAGTAGAGGAGATATTAAATTCTCCAACTTGCAGTTCTCCTATCACCTGAGCAGTTGGAGATACTGTGGACAGCTTCTTTTGTTTCTTTTTTTCTGTTGTTATTCTTTTAAGAAACCTTCTCTTTCAATATTAAGAGATTAAGCCAACATCTATGGTTTTTCAGTCTTGAACACAAGATGTCTCACTCAATACTATTAGAAGATAATTAAGTCCTGGAAAGAAACATGATTTAAAGCACCCTTGTTATGTGTGTCTTCACTGTTTGGTGTTACCTTGCTTCCAGCCAAAGCACTGTTCAGAGTTCCTGATCTAAGTGACATAACTGGCATTAGATGATATGTTAGAAGTAATCTCATGTATTACGTGCATAATCTAGGACTGTAAATTCTGAAACATGGATTCTGAACTGAAACCCTGCACTGTTTGACCACTGCAAATTACTTGATAGCATCCAGGTGACTGACTTAGGATGAAATGTGGCAACAGAAGAAATCTGTGGTAAAGTGTTCCTCTGATACTAAGGCTTGATACTGACTGAAATCTCATTCATATTTGAGTTTGAAACACCATCTTCTATGTTTTTTAGAAATAAATTCCATTATGGAAGTTATTGTCTTCATTTCTGAGTAACATTTTGCTACTGAATTATCTTTGTCATTCATCCTTTCTAACAGCTGGTTCCAAAATATTAGTGAAGGATCCCAGACCAGCTTTGGGAACACCAAGTCCCAAACTAAGTGGTAAGTACTTCAAGGTATATATAGTTTTAAACAATTTTTATAGAAAAGACAATGAGGAGCAGTTTAGTGAGATTGGACTGAGTGGCTTAGGATGAATAAAGGGTATTATATTAGCCATTAGATTTAAAAAGAATTAATTAAATTGTTCCCCAATGTTTGAGTTCCTCTAGCTTATATGTTATAATTTATATCTGTATACAATTTCTGTTGTGTTTGACTGTAGTTGCTGTTCTGTGTAAGATCCTATGCAATTTACCCATTCAGAAATTATCCTACTGATGCAGAAATAATTTAAAAAATGTTTCACAGTTTTTTTTCAGTCTTGCACTTCTTTTACATATTGCTAATCTAAATTGCTTTACCTAAATACTTAGTGTTAGCTTTCAACTTGCCCTTCAAAAAAAGTTAATTTTAGTTGACAGAAGGTAATCTCTCAAATTCTGCCTAAAGACTCCAGTTTTAACAGATTTGCTGAAGAAGACTGTCTTTGGATGTCCTGACTAGAGAAACCTTTCTCTGTCCACTGAAGAGATATTTAGAAAAGAGCAGTCTCCCTAACTAAAATTAGCCTTTGACTATAAACCTGTTGAATTTCTGCCAATAATTAATAAGATTTAAAAGTAGTTCCTTAGCATATGGGGACTTGGGGAGCTTTTTTTTCTTTTTAATTTTTTGCACTACTTCAAAAGTGTGTTTGTCAATGATGTAGTGCTGTAGTCATCAGTTTTTTCATTCAGAAAATTTTCATTCATTTTGTGCAATCCCAATTAACTGCAAGTAGAGTACATAAAGATCAGTTTTCCTAAAAGTAGGGAAATCAATTTCAGGCAGTTCACAAATCAACAGCATCAGACCATTCGCATCGTGCAATTTCTTTCCTTACAGTTTGCAGGTACAGTATCTATATTTTTTGTCAAAAAACATATGCATATATATATATATATATACACACACACATACACAGATAAAAAAACTAGGAAAGCTCTTTTACTCTTCATGGGGAAGACAACTTGTGATGAAGGAAAACTGTGGTCATTCTGATGTGCCCCAGTCTTGAATCTAGGAACATTCTGAGAGAGAAAGAAGCCAATATTCTTCTGTGCTTATCTGACATGAGATGCCAGTGCACATACAAACCTTTAAGCTCAATGTGAGTTACTCTAAGTAATGCAAAAGTGCTGATTTTAAATAGTGATTGTTATAGGGCTAAGTTTGCTACATTACCTTAGAAAGTGTAATAAACCCATCCTAAATCACCTTCCATTTAATTGGTTAAATGGAATCTCATGCTAAAATTTTAAAGATTTGCATGTATCTGCTTTTGCTGGATGGGTGTTTTTTTTTATTTTGGTGGAGTTTTCAGTTGCTGGAATAACATTACTTAAATTAATAATTTTACAGGTTGCTAATGATAAATGGGAAATGTAAAGGTATAAATTTAGCATATTTATTCTCTGCAGACTGTGATATGGTTTTAATTTTAAATTAGAGAATTTATTTTTTTCTGCTGGTGAAGTTCATAATGTTTTTAAGCATTTGAAGACAAGACAACATTTCTTATATAAATTTTTCATTAGAAAAAGTGACTGGGTAATAAAGAAAATGCTTATAACATTCTAGTGTCATATAAATATGCTTATGAAAATGATGATATCTAAACTGATATTAATTTCTACAAAATTCAATGCTGGCTGTATGTCCCTAGTTGTCTGTGCTTGCAGAGGAAAGATTCTACAGGGAGAGGAATATGAACTTCTGGTTAAAGCTGTTAGATTTTATGGAGTTGGTTTAATTTTAGGACAGGTCCACATTTGAGGAAAAAAACAAATGAAAGTATAGATGTGCTTGTGTTCTTCAGTGCAAACACATTTCTTTCATTAAAGTTCATGCCAGATTTCTATGCTTTATATGCGAAAATCATGCCTCCTAGCCTTAAAAACAGAAAGAGCAAAGGAAAGAAAATGCTAATATTTGTCACACATTTTCTTGGATATTTGACTTTGTAAGTACTAAATATTGCATTTTGTATTGAAACATGTTTATGTCTTCATAGTTCCTGATGATGTATTTGCCCAAAATTATATATGGAAAGGATCTTACAATTACAAAAGCAAGAAACAGCCCATGACTTTGACAGTCACCAGTTTCAATGCAACTTCAGGAAGAGTAAATGCAACACTTACAAACAGCAATATGGAATTGCTGCTATCAGGTATGGTCTAAGAAATAGTAATTTCCTTTTTTTTTCCCCGCTTTATATATGTTGGTTTGCTGTAACTTTATGCATAACACTTAAACTTTTAACATCTTATGGAAACTTTCTTAGCTCATCAAAGAAATTTTCATTCTATTTCAGTTCCTTTTCAAAGGTAGAGATTTTTCCAGCTTTTCTTTCTTTCTCTCCCTTTTTTTTTTAGTTTCCCAGGCTTTTATTATATTTGGATTTAATGGTCCATAAGGAGGGAAACAATAATCCTAATTCTCATACTAATTCTTTAAATATTATAAATAAACTGAAATTACTGTTCTTGAGATTTTATTATTCTTATTTAAAAACTTCTCTACAGTAGCCTGTTAATGACTAATTGTCAATATGATGAGATTGATATGTGTTGACCTAGAAAGTCAGAGATATCTAGTGAAAATGGAAAGAAAGTAGAGATAACACTTTTTAGATTATCTTTCATTTCCTCCTGTCCTACCACTTGCTACTTGAGAAAAGTGACCAAAACCCACCTTGCTCCAACCTCCTTTCAGGTAGTTGAAGACAGGATATGGTCTCCCTTCAGTGTCTGTTTTTTTCCAAACTAAACAACCATTCCCTCATTCTCCTCATAAGACTTGTGCTCTAGACCCTTCTCTAGCTCCTTTCTCTGGACATGCTCCAGCACTTCAATGTACATCTTGTAGTGAGGAGCCGAAAACTGAACACAGGATTCAAGGTGTGGCCATACCAGTGCTGAGTACAGGAGGTCAATCACTTCTCTGGTTCTGCTGGCCACACTATTTTTTATATAAGCCAGGATGCCAGACCTTCTTGGACACCTGAGCACACTGCTGGCTCATGTTCAGTCACTGTTGACCATCACCTCCAGGTCCTTATAAGCCTGTAGTGTTACCTGGGGTTGCTGGGACCCAAATGCAGGCCCATTGATACTACCTGTCCAGATCCCTCTTCAGAGCCTTCCTACCCTCCAGTAGATCAACACCTCTGCCCAAGTTAGTGTCATGTGGAAACTGACTGAGGGTGCCCTCGATCCCCTCGTCCAGATCGTTGATAATGATATTAAACAGGACTTGCCCGATTATTGAGTCCTGGAGAACACCAGTTGTGACCAACCACCAGATGGATGTAACTTCAATCAACACAACTCTCTGGGCTCATCCATCCAGCAAGTTTTTTCTCCAAGTCCACCTGTCCAACCCATGAACAGTCAGTTTCTCGAGAGGAATGCTGTGGGAAATGGTGTCAAAAGCTTTACTGAAGTCCAGTTAGACAGCATCCACAGCCATTCCTTCATCCACTGAAGCATCTTATCATAGGAGACCAGGTTAGTCAGGGAGGATCTGCCTTTCGTAAGCCTATATGGCTAGGCCTGTGTGGCAGTTTAAGCCACATTAGAAACCCAAAATCCAATTTCCAGGCTTCCCCCCCCACCCCTTCCCACAATTTATCCCAATACCGGAGAGAAACTTTCAGGCCAGAGGCTTCTGAAAGGGGAAGGGGAAGTATATACATTTATTTACACAAATAAATATATTGTACAAACTAAATATACTGTACAAAGCAGATATATATATACATATATATATATATTACATTTCTATCAGTCCTTTAAGCCCCTTCCTTTAACTTTAGTCCAGGAAAGAGCCCTTCAAGGCTGATATGTAATGAGTCTCTCTCTCGTGGGAGTGTTCTGGGCCCGAACACTCCCCCCTCACCAGGCTCCGGCTGTTTGTTGCAGTTTTTCTCCTCATGAAGTCTAAGAAAGTAGCTTTGAGTCCTTGCTCCTCGGTCTTCTGTGTGATTTCTCCCTCTCGGTTTCATACCTCGGTTCGTAGGTTGCTGCAGTGTAGTTTAACTTATCAAGCGTCTGTGTCCTGGAATGTTGATTCCTCCTTGGGTTTTTGGCTGTCTTCTGTTTAGATCACGGCAAAGACATCTTACAGGCCCCTTTTTCCAGGGTCCGTCTCCGATTTCGCCTGGGATTCCTCTCCCGAGTGCCAAGCCTCCTCCTCCGGCCCATCTCTTGGCTCAGCTTCAATACTGAGCCTCCCTCCTCCACTTTACAGCGGAGGGAAAGGAAAAGCCCCCCTCCACAGTTTAACTGTAGAAAGGAGGGGGGAGAGGGCTTGGCTGTAAAGCCTGCCTCTCTCCTCTTACCTCATGTGCTGTGAGTCTCTTCCCTCACTGCACACACTCAAAATGCTGCCTCTAACTCTGCTCTGGCCTAGGCAGAGCTGGGGGGCCTCAGGGCTCCCCCTCCCCCCTGGAGTGGGGGAAAGAAGGAGCCCAGCCACCCCCTGGCCTTCCACACCTACATGCAGCAGACATCAACAGCAGAACAGTGCCAACAGCTTCCGGTGCTGTGTATATATGATTTTGAGCAGAAGTGAACAACATGAGTGGTTATTGGTTCTCCAGGGAACACTGCCCTGGTACCCAATCACCTCTGAGACCCCTGGCTCCCAGGGGGGGGCAAATCTCAAACTGCGACAGCCTGATACCCTGGTTGTCCTGCACATGCCATGTGATGGCATTCAAGATGACCTGCTCAGTAACCTTCTGTGGCACCAAGGTCAGGCTGACAGGACTGTACTTCCCTGGATCCCCCTTCTGGCCCTTCTTTTAGACAGACATCACATTTGCTACCTCCAGTCAACTGAGACATCCCAAATTAGCCAGGACTGATGGTAAATGATTGAAAGTGGTTTAGGGAGCACTTGGTTGAACCCCATCCGACCCCAAAGACTTGTGTGTGTCTAAGCAGTGGAGCAGGTTGCTGACCGTTTCCCCTCGAAGCCCCCTTGGGGACATCAGTCTGTTCCCCACATCTGACTTCCAGCTTAGCAGGCTGGCTACCCAGAGACGTAAATCCCTTCATGCTGTGGCTGCAGAAGAAGTCCTTGAATGCAATATTACTTCCACAGTCTCTGCCATCCACAGCACTGTTGTCATGATTATGTTGGCCCAGTAGGCACAGTTCTCTGTGCTGTAAACCATCAGCAGAAACCACAGATATGGCTGAAAAGATACTAGAAATGTTTGGATTTAAAGTTTTGGGGTTTTGGGTTTTTGTTTTGTTGGGGTTTTTTTTCCGAATCTGTCAGTCCCTTGATTGAAACATCTCAAGCACACAGACAATGGGTCTGTCACACCACAGGAGTGGCAGGCTATTACACAGGGGGGTGAATTGGCATGAAAGAAACACCTGAAATCAATATTATCACTCAAAACTTTGTTTCTTAAAATTTCATCCTCTGTCTACCACATTGTTTGCAAGGTTGGAAAAAGCCTAAAAATTTCATTTATGTATAGGCTGGACACTGCTGGTTTTAATCTTCCTCATCGCTCTAGGACCCCTTTATCTGAAGTAGTTTATCACCACTCTTTGGTGTTAGCAAGGACAGAAGTGACAAAACTGTTGGAAAAAAACAGGAGGAAAGTTTAACCCATAGGTTTCTGAGAGGGGGTGATGTACAGGAAGGATGTAATGGGCCAAAGTATCTATATTTCTGCTGAGGTCTGATTTTCTAATATCAATGGTGAATTTTTGTCCCTGGATTTGTCTGTTTAAGGTATTTTGTAGGTGTCCTTATAAAAGTCATACTTGAGAGGCTGTAGATGGACTGAATGTTTTCTGATTGTTAATAATGTTTGCCTTTACTGCATGTAATTTTTTTGCTGTTGTATCATGTCTCTTTAGTTTCAGCCATGTAATTTCTGTGAGGGAATTAAGAGCGGCAGATGTAGTATTTTGTATGTTTAGAATTAGAAAAGTAAAATGATGTGTTCTCACTCAAAAACCTCCTCCTCCAAGTAAAAGGTTCCTTCAACTGCACACAAAGGTGATTACAAATACCCTTTTTCATTCTACATACAGGCATTACACTCACCCACCATTTTCTACTGACTACGGATACAAAACTCTATTAGTCTGAAAATTCAGCTGTCTGCTGTGTCATCTCTTTGCAGCACTGGATTCCAATATTAAGCTATTTGGTTGTGGCAGCATTTCTTCCTTCCCTACCTGTAGATGCAAAGAATGTGAAGTATCTGGACATTTTCTTCCTTCCACTGCAGTGCTAGCTGGTGGTGTTGTGCAGCCTTAGTTATATTTTTTTTTCGCTGGACAATGTGGTGGATTGACCTTGGATGGATGCCAGGTGCTCAATAAACTTCTCTATCACTCCCTCTCTTCAGCTGGACAGGAGAGAGAAAGTATAACAAAAGGGTAGTAGGTTGAGATAAGGACAGTAAGAGATCAATCGTGATTCCCATAATGGACAAAACAGACTCAATTCATGGCAATTGATTTAATTTATTGCCAATCAAATGAAGGTAGGATGATAAGAAATAAAAACAAATCTTAAAACACCTTCCCCACACCCCTTCCTTCCTCCCAGGCTCAATTTTACTTCTGAGTTCTCTATCTTCTCCCCTCCAAGCAGCACAGGAAAATGGGGAATGTGAATTGTGGTCAGTTCATCACATGTTGACTCTGCTGCTCCTTCCTCCTCACTCTTTTTATCTGCTCCAGTGTGGGATCCCACGCCCAGGATACATACAATCCTCCACAAACTTCTGCAACATAGAGCATTTCCACAGACTGGAGTTCTTCACAAACTCCTCCATTGTGGATCCTTGTCAACATATGCTTTCCATGACGTGCAGTTCTTCAGGAAAAGGCTGCTCTGGTGGGTTCCCCACAGGGTCACAAGTTTTACCAGTGATCCTATTTCAGCAAGGGCTCCTTCCTACATGGGTCCTCAGGTCCTATCAGGAACTTGCTCCAGCACAGGCTTCCCATGGGGTCACAGCCTTCTTCAAGGCATATCCATCTGCTCCAGCGTGGGATCCTCCACAGACTGCAGGTGGACCTCTACTCCACTGTGGATCTCCATGGGCTGCTTGAGCACAGCTGCCACACCATGGTATATAGGGGGATGTCTGCCCTGGCATCTGGAGCACTTCCTCCCCTCCTTCCTCACTAACCTTGGTGTATGGAGGGCTGTTTCTCTCACGTATTCTTACTCGTCTTCCCGGCTGCAATTGCACAGTATATTTCCCACATCTTTAATCTGTTAGCCCAGAGCGGCTACCACCATTGTTGATGGGCTCAGCCATGGCCGGAGGTGGGTCTGTCCTGGAGTCAGTTGGCATTGGCTCTGCCAGACAAAGGGAAAGATTCTAGCAAGTTCTCACAGAAGCCGCCTCTGTATGACCACTGCTACCAAAACCTTGCCACACAAACTAGGTGGTCAGGCCCATCAGTCTGATGCCATCCACATCTGTTAGTCAGTATAAACTAAAACCCCGGAAATGTGATGCATAAAAGCCAGTGTTTAAATCAAATTAATTTACAGTATGAAGTTTGTTCTGTGAGTTTTAAGTTAGGTTTGATGAAGTTTTCTGACTATAATTAGTATTAATTCTTGGGGTTTGTTTTTGTTAATGTTTTTTCTCTTGTTTGGTTTTGGTTTTAGTTTTGTTTCTGTTATAATTTTAATAATCATTAGCTCTCTCTTGTGTAAAGTGCAATACAACCTTATGTGATTCTACAAATAGGGGACTTTGTATGAAATGAACAGCAATTTTGGTGGTCTTCTAGAAAGAAAATGATCATACTAGACAGATCTATTTAAAATCTGAAGTTTTAAACCATTAATTCATAACAATGTTTAAAAATGTGGGGGAAAAAATCATAACTGTATTTTCACTATTCACTATTGTCTTTGTAAAGTAAGATTCAATCACTAAGCGTATTGTAGCATTTTATTTTCATTTCCAAATAAGGAAATAAGGATATTTATGTTCTAAATGTTTATTCTACGGAAACAACAGTGAGACATTATGCCTATGAAGTAAATGAGGTTGCATACAAGTCTTCTCACTGTCTGGAAGAAACTGTGTGGTAGTACTGACTGATGAAGAAAATTTAATTTTTTTGAAATAGTTTCAAATTTAAATTTTTTTAAATTTAGCTCCAGCTTTTGGAAAAGAATTTGTGTGTGGATATTCCTATTATCACATTCGTTATGTGATGATTAAATTATATGTATGGAAAGTGGGGATGTGAGATTTAAATACACTCTGTCTGATTCAGAACAGTCTTTTCCATCTCAAATCAGACTACTGTCAATGTTTGTTCTGTCTAAGGCTTGTTACCATAACTGTTAAGTAACAACTGTGTGTATAGGGTTTTCCTTCTGTCCTTTCTACAGGCTAAGCTAAAACATTGTTTCTATTGAAAATGTATTATTATTCAAATAATTTCAAAAAAGAAATCATCTTGCTAAACTAACAATGTTAACAGTTGGCACCTATTCTTCCTGCTTTCCCTTTTCAAGAAAGGAGATTAAATGTTTATTCTTAAAGATGAAATTATTTTTCTACTCAACACAAATATGAATTTTTAAAACTATGTTATACAGGAGTGTATAAAAGCCAGGAAGCTCGGCTAATGCTCCACATATATCTCATTAAAGCACCCTCCCATACATCTGCAAGCAAGTTGAAAGAGGAAAAATGGGCTATGGATGGTTTTGTGAGTATATTTGGGCTATAAAAGAGAGATAACTTTTTTTTGTTTGTTTGAAATCATGATGGTGTTTTACACCCAAAAAATATATCAAATAGAATCTTGTTAGCAAGGCTGATTCATTAAATTAAATGAAAATTTTATTGTAAGATATAGGAAACCAGTCTGAGGGAAAATATGGGAACAATCATACAGTGTAGTCAAAATTATAAAGTGTGTTAATACAGAAGTATTTCTTGTAGGTTTCTCTTAATTTTATTCTAATATATCTAGAAGTTTCATCATAATTATAATATCAATTTATTGTTATATTAATAAAATAACAATTTTTATCATTATGCTAGCAATCATGTTTTACTTTTTGGTGATATTTTCAGAAATACCATGAAAAACATGAATGGTTACATATATAGGGAAAAAAAAAATAAATTACTCCAATTAAGCATTAGGCCTTTTGGAGGTTCTGGGTCTAAGCTTATTCTTTAAAAGAGAGAAGAAGAGAGCATATAACTGAGAGAAGGAGAGGTGAAGGAGAGGGGTAAATAGAAGAAGCAACAGCCCACGTGGCTGGGATGTGTTTAAATCATGAACAGGAAATGCTTTCAAAGAAAAGATAAAGAAAAATGTAGATTTTTCAGAAAAGAAAGGGTCTAACATAGTTTGGATTATTATAAACACTCATACATCCTTACTACACCATCTAATTTTTCAAGGAATTTGTCTTTTTTCTTGTGTTTTACTTCCTGGTAAAGCACTACAGTGACACCAATATGGGTACATATGCCAAACAAAGAGAAGAGTTGTATACTGAAGTGTACTCACAAATTGTGGCACTGCTTCAATATTCATTTTAAAAAAGGTGCAAAATCAAAACCAAAGCACAAACGAACCCTAAACTGCTTAAGCAATAAATGTACTGGTAAAAAGGCTTAATTTTCTTGGCTTGAACAAACTTTAGGTTTCATGAGCATGCTTCTGAGGTGACAAAAATATGGCAAAAGCAAGGAAATTGCTTTCAGACTTCTGAATATACAAAAGCAGACAATTTTTTTTTTTAAATCTTGCAATAGCTTGAAAAGGCTGCTTTACCCCAAAGTAAGAAATTCACCTGAGAAAGGCACACTTTCTTCAGTGAAAACATAGCTTCAGGTCACTGCTGAAGACATACCGTGTCTTGAGAAAGGGAAACAAGGGAAAAACGTGAAGGGACCTGCTTAGGAACCACTGAATTTAAACGTAATAACTATCCTTAGAAGCAAGTATCTGTCAATTTGTATACAGTGCATTACTTTAGACTTTACTTACTGTAATTAAGAGAGATAATCATAGGATCACAATCATTTCCTCCCTCCCACAAGCCTTTTAGTTTATACTATTTTGCCCTTTTACCAAAACCTTATTCAATATTCTTCTGGTTCACAGCTGCATAATTCAGTAATTATTGGGATAAGCACTGAAAAAGATAAAATAAACTGTCAATTAATGTGAGGTCTTTTTTATTTAATTTAAAAGTAGTTATTGAAACTTCAAAACTTGCATCCTTAGGATTATATGCAATACAAATTTTTCCATCTACTTCCTAAACAAAACAGAAAATTATGACGTATATAAGATCTTAGACATACTGACATTAGAACTGCCAGAAACTTTAAGTTTTACTGTTTTTAAAAAAATACAGTTAAAGGTATAAGGTATTATATAAGGTATCATATATGATTATAAGCCACCATATCTAAAGTATGCCTTTTTATTTGAACTTTTTATATAGATTTTCTAGAAAAAGAGGGTGTTTATAATGGGGAGTAACAGCTATCAGTCAAGCATATTAGGATATAGAATAGAATAACTCCCTTTCAAACAGATGCTTGTAACTTGCAAGAAACTTTTCCATGCTTAATTCAGAGTACTTATTGTTTACAGGTTTCTGCTGAACCTGATGGAGCAACATATGTCTTTCAAGGATTCATCCAGGGTAAAGATTATGGACAATTTGGACTTCAAAGATTAGGTATTCAACAAATTCTAATTCTTTGCCAGTTCATTGTTTTGTATTCTGTTTTATTGTGTCCAGTAGTATGCAGGTATCCTCAGGATGTTATCAGCATTGACATTGTAGTTAATATAGTCAATAATACAGCTGTAGAGAGATTTGCAATCTTTGAACAGATTTTGTTTAACATGTTTACCAGTTCACTATTTCATGCACACAAAGACAAAAATATCTTCTCTGAAACAAAATGTTTTGAATGCTGTTCCTACACAATTTTCCTCAAAACATTCATGGTTGTTGGGGTTTTTTTGTTTGGTTGGTTGGTTTTTTTGTTGTTGGTGTTTTTTGTTGTTGTTGTTGTTGTTTGTTTGTGGTTTTTGTTTTTGTTTTTTTGTTGTTTTGGTTTGGTTTGGGGTTTTTTTGGTTGTTTTGGTTTTTTTTTTGTTATTTGGGCTTTTTTTTTTAATTTCTATATATTGCCTTATAAGATCAAGAAAGTAAGACAATATTATGATGGACGCAATTCCTAAAAGGTCCTTTGAAGCTGCATTGTTATTACTTTCCTCACATTTAAATGTCCATGTATATAATGTAGATAATGTATTCCTCAACCATGCAGAAGGACATATTCCTATTTTTTAATCAATATCTGGCTTTAGCTCTTCACAATTGTTCCTACCTCTTTCACTCTGTGTATCAATACAATGCCTAAGGAAATAACGAATCTTCAATTTGCCTCTTCAGATGATTGACCTTTTCCATGACATTATGCTTGGTTTTTATACATGTAGTATTTATTAATTACTGAAATATGGACATATAATCAGCAATATAATCAATGTAACATGCATTATTATCAATTTGACTTTTTGTAACACAGTACATTAATGTGTGTTAATAACATCCAAAACTTAAATCCCATGCAGAATTATGCTGTAAGATATTTACTATACCAGAGCATATGTATTGTTCTCCCAACATATTGCATCTACTTGTTAATCAGAATATGATATATATATACACTTTCCAGATGGTCTCAGCATACAGCTGTATCTATACAACTGAACACATTTTGATGACCCAATAACAAGGTGTTATTGAGTTCTGAAGATTATGGAGTAGTATGTGTTGGGGATAACAGACACATACATGATATTACTTGTTTTTTCTTATTTTTTTTTTAGGTCTTAACATGTCTGAGGGTTCAAGTTCTTCTAATCAACCACATGGTACAAATAGTAGTTCAGTGGCCATTGCTATTCTTGTGCCTTTCTTTGCCCTTATATTTGCTGGTTTTGGCTTTTATCTTTATAAACAAAGGTAAGTACTAATTATATATACAAAATTCCTCTAATACTCTATCTGTTGGTGATTTTATTGCCTTCAATCTTTGCAAGTGAATAAAGTTTTCTGTAAAACCACAAAGTGTTTGCAAAATATGCAAACCTTCTTCCTACCTCCATTAAGGTCTGGTATAATGACTAAGAGACAAGTTTATTGTACTGTGCTATACTTTCATTCCTACCTATTTAAAATTTTATAAATTTCTGCCTTCATTATAATAAAATAGATGTTATAAATTTTTGGCATATGGTGAATAATATAATTGGTTGACTTTATGTGTTCTTACAATGAATTGCCTATATTTTTTTCTTTGTGTGACAGAACTGAATCATATTCTGAGTAGTTTATTTTAATACTTGCTCTGTTTATTGGCATACAAGTATATGCAAGTATTATGTCATCGAGAGGTTTAATTGTGGAACTGTTTCTACATCTGAAATTATTAGTTCATATGCAATTATGTTAAACAGCCACCAGACTTTTCAGTTTCATTAGTCTAAGTTCAACAGTTTTCGTCATGTTATCGAGACCAGTATTAATTCTTTGGATGCAGTGCCAAGTAACCTTTTCCCATAGCTTTAAAGCATTAAATAACTAAAGAAAATTTAATCACTTTAATGACAATTCATTGCATATTAACTGCCAAAATGTTAATTTACATCTGATAGTCTGACAATAATACTAGTAATATACTCTACAGGATAATGTTATTTTAAAACATGTACCATGATTTTTAAACAGCGCTACTTGTTTTCAACTGTTGCAGAATATGAAAAATTGCCCATGTAATTTTTTATGTATTTGCTATTATTTGTGTGCTGTAAGCACTGGTTTTTGCACTTTATATTGATGATTTACAATATACTATGCATTTTGTATAGCAATATGGATGAAAAGTATTTAAGAGTTTGAACTCTAGTATTTTGAGTTATTTAGTGAGAAAGAAAATGTTTCAGCTATATTCTTGGTAAACTTGTCAAGTCTCCAAATGGAAAAGAAAACCTCAGTCATCTGGATCGGGGAATTATTGTGTCTTTACAAGATTTTATTGTACTCTTTGCTATTTGTCATCTGATCATCCAATTGTAATGGATAACAGCTTGGATAATGGATCTAATAGCAATGGATAACCTCTTCTAAGGTTGTTAACTAAGTTTCTAGGTGAACACCGTTTTCAATGAATCATAAATCCCTTAAGCTTTAATAAAGACAGTACTAATTCTTAGCATAGATACTGTAAAAATAGCCCAAAGATGTTATATTTAGCTCCTATAACTGGAACTGGGAGCTAAATTCTGTTCTGATTCTTAAACCATGTTAAGTCAGTGAGGAAAACTGCAGTTACAAATGCTCTGTTTTTCTTCTACAGGACTGCACCTAAAACACAGTATACAGGATGCTCTGTACATGAAAATAATAATGGACAAGCTGCTTTTGAGAACCCCATGTATGACACAAATGCAAAGTCAGTGGAAGGGAAAGCGGTACGATTTGACCCCAACTTGAACACTGTTTGCACAATGGTATAATGTGGTAATGATTTGTCTTCAAAGTCTGGGAATTGACACACAACACAGTGCACACACAGTTCACTGATTGAAAAAAAAGAAATTAAAAAAATTAAAGCACACTTTTCAGGATGTAGTGGGTCACCTTTTCCTGAGGATGATAGGCAAGTATGCGTTGTAGTTATTTTGTTTTCATTTTGTTTTTCATAAACTGGATCAGAATTCTTCATGTATGCCATGGAGAGTGTTAAAAAAATTTGCTGCACTCCATGAGTGCTACTCACAGTTTATTTGCTTTTTTAAAAAAGGAGGTTATTCTAAAACATAAAACGTATTTGCATATATTGGAGGAGCATCCACTATCAGTATTCTGTGCTTTATAAAAACTATAATAGAGGGACTGGGTTAAAAAAAAAAAAGATATAGGTAGAAAATAAGAGCTATACTTACAGGAGACAATAGGTCACTGATTTCTCTTTAACAGTCATATGCTACATCTTTCCCATGAGTTGGTACCTTTTTTCCTTTTTCAGCCTGTTTAGTATTTTATTTTTCTTGGTACAGTTAAGTTTTTAAGTCCAGGATGTAGTATTTAGAAATCAGCAACTATAACTTTCCCTTTTCATGCCACAGAACAAAAAATAGAATTCATATTCTTATTTAATGAATTTCCTTCCCTGCTTCACAACTTGCTTCATTTTCATGTTCCAAGTCAAACCTGTTTTCTGTGTTTCCATTAACAATACCCACAAGTAGTAATGTTTATATATTTCTTTTGTCAATCATACATCTGGACAAATTTTACAATGAAGAAGCTAATATGAATTGAGCTTTGTATGTGACTATGTTTGGTAACGTTGAAGAACATTCAAGAGTGACCATCTTACATTTTTTCAAAAACGAAAACATAATTTAATGATATTTCCTATTAAAAAGTGCAGTTTACAGTAACATTAGTAATGAAATCCATATATCAAAAATCTAAGAGTCCATCTTTCAATCCATATTAGTTAAAACTAGGCCATATCATACCAGTTTATTCCTTCAGCATTTTAACAAAATGCATGCACAAAGCATGATGAAATCCCATTGAAGCTGATGGATTCTAAGAGACTTCAATGAACTTTGGATCAGATCTACAAGGCAAAAGGAAGTTATAATTTGAAAATACTGTGTTTTCACATCTATTTTATCTATATATTCCATACTTTAGGGAAAAAATTCCTTACAGCTCATTTAAAATTAAATATATTACCATAGTGCAATGAAAAAAAATTTATATATATATATATATATAAAGCCATGATTTTATTAGGGACAATCCATTCATTTTAGGGACAATTCAGATTCCACAGCCCTCAGATGCAAGTTTTAGACATTCCAGAATCACTTCTAAGGAAATGCAGTTTTTAGTTTTACAGTTATTTCATATCAGAATTATTCAGTGGGAACCCAGTAATTTATTTGATGTAGGTCATTGTCTTCCATTCATAGCATGACTCACAAATGCTGTGTGTTAGCCAGTGTGAATTATCTGTTATTGTCCCTTTCAGACATTAATGATTCTGTGAAAATCTAAACTTTTTATTACCGTAATAGAGAGTGCCTACCAAAAATCATTGTACCCAGGATTGCTGCTTGGATTTCTATAATGTTTGATGAATTTCTTATAAACCATTTTACAACACTTTGTTTTGAATATTCATACAACTCTGTCAAACTGTATTCTACTAAAAGGATGCTGTTTTATATTTTATACCATTGGTTGTTATTTATTCTCGTTTATTCAAATGACTGCAATAACTATGATTCATTCATTAATGTTAAGGTTAATACATTTGAGATCGTTTAAAATGTTTCTTCTGCAACTGGCTACTCCTCTTATATTAATGCATACACTTTTGTAAAGAAGTATATTTTTATGAAAAAGGATTTGTAAAAGTATGATGTAAATTTTCAGTGCAATGTAAACAAAATAAAAATGGACAATTGCTTTTTTAAAACGTGTTTCTTCTTTGGAAGATGAGCTTTAAAATTATTTCAGTTGTGAAGATGAGAAAATAACCAAACTAAGAATTCAAATTTGGTATTCTTTTGCGTTTCTAAAATCACGTTATTTTTCCTGAATCTTTCTGTGAATTTTAGGTGAAACTGCAAGATTTAGATTACTTTCAAAAACAACTGATAAGTACAATGTGTAAAACTATTTTTTTACTAAAATCAATTTTCTGTTTTACTTGAAGAAGCAGATTTACACAAAAGAGGCCTACAGTTGTCAATCCAGTGAAAAACACTAGAAAAAAAATTACTTTTACAGAAAAAAATAATTTAGAAAACTTTAGTATTCCTCAAGGTTATAGACAGCCTACTTTGTACATTATTTTGCTACCTTTTTGCATATTATGTACATATTAATGGGTAGTATCAGTACATACACTATTTTCTGGCATTAAAAAATCCCAGTGTTTCTTTTAATCACATTGGACTGGAAGAAGGGATCTTAGTTATATTACTAAAGTATTGAAACTGTCTTTTAACTATCCCTTTTACTTACGAGCGTGGAAGGTCGATGACAAATCCTGATCTGAAATGCTATTCATAGGATAACTTGGGGACAAAATAGTCTAAAAGTCATTTGTGAATTTGGTGCTCTATATAAATTGAAAACGCCCATTCAGGTCCGTGTTGAAATCACTGAAATTTGTGTTGCTAAGTACATTGGAAAGAGAAGCACGGAGTCACTGTAAAGTGATATCATGAAGATCATGCACTAATGTTTTGGGAGGGAGGGGGATTCTAGAGCAAATTGGTTAATTCTGAAAAGCAAGAAAAAGTCAGTTTCACAGTGGCCAAATTTTTATATGTAACCTCGAATCTGAAGGTAAGCTCTTCCTTCTTTTGTTTATGCATTATATGTTTTTACATATGAAAGTAAATAAAACTTACATTGAATTAGTTCCACAATCCTGTTAATTAGCTTAAGCTAATTTATCCAGCTTGTGCTTTTCAAGAATTATACTGACTTTCTTGTAATAGAGAGTGCATTCAATCATAATAGATTGAATTTGGGGTTTGATTAGTTTGTTTTTGTTTTGTACATTGGATCAGTTTGTTTGTTTATGGCTTTTTTTATTTGGATTTGCTTTTGGGGGGTTGTTTGGGGTTTTTTGGCTTAGTTCCTGAGCTTTTTGACTTATAAACTGTGCATGAACTGTTCAATTTCCAAGTAGCAGACTGGTCAGTTTTCACTGTGGCAGATGGAATTCAAAGTTTTGGTTGTTTAATTGGAGTTTGTTAGCCCAGTCTACTCACTGTTTCTTATTTTTCTTGAGAAGGTAGCAGAATGGAAGATAGCCCTTTGGCTACATTATTCAAGCAAACACAGTATACAGAGAAAATGTGTATATCACAAAAAAACAGAATAAAGAAATCAGAAAAAAGAATTGAGATTGCCATGCAACTCTGTGAGTCTTTCAAGATGAACACAGCTTCTGCAACACTACAGACTGAGATTTAAAATTTCATTTGAGTGAGCCCATTTAATTCTACATTATCTGTGTGTCAAGACCCATCTGGTCCACTACATGTCATTAGATCACGCTACAATCTGGTTCATTACTGGAATCCAGAAACCATATGGAATCAACTAAACTCACCAAAATAGCAGTTCTGGTAAAACTCCTCAGAATCATCATAACATTGAGCTAAAAATGTCATATTTTACTTTACTTTGTGAAACAGAGCTGGCATTAATATGTAGACATCCTATCCTGGAGGAATTCCATGACTAAAGTAGAACAAGCTGTTCTTGTCAAGGAAACGGTTTAATGGCTACACGTATTATTGCTTCATATAGAGAGCTAATAAGAAGTGAGCCTGTAGCCAAGTCATTAAGCTCTTAATCTAGGTGAAGGACAGATTTTCTTTTCTAAGCCTTAAAAACATGCACCTCAACCCACTAGTACAGTTGGCTGAAGTGTTATGAAGTATTCCTCATTTTTTTCCAACATTAGTGAAATTTGGGGAATTTAAAATCTTGGATATCACTGCACAAAGATATCAGCAGATCTGTATCCCAGTGTGTAGATTCAGTTGTAAGTCCCTATCTACTACTTAGCTACTATATTATTTCAGTAAAACATAGATGTCTTGTGACGGAATATAGGGTTTTTTTATTGTTATTGTGCAGACTTCTGCCCATGATCTGTCTGTAAAAGATCGCCTGTTCCACAATGGGAGAGTCCATATGCGTTGAAACATCCTTATTTATAGGATGATCAGAGTTGGAGAAAAATATGTCTTGTATCATTTGTCATATTAAAACCCTACAATCTTTGATAGATTAATTTATGAAAATTAATTTATGATTTCAGATTTTCAGTGGGAATTGATATAGGTACCTGAAGCATGACCATTTAAGCAATGGTACATTCAGCAACCAAGTTCCAGAGTTCTTCTCACACACTTTGCTAATAGACTTATTAACCTTTCATGGTACATCAGAAAGTCTTCTTATGATGTCCCAAAACCACAAAGTTTCCTTTCATTTCTTTGAGTTTCTATGATTTAATTTTGATTTGGTTACCAAAAGTTCAGTCAAACATGATGGAGAAAGATGCACTGGGTTTGTTTTCTGGTAATCTGTATTACTGGTTAGCAAATAAACATGTTATTCTTTACTTCCTTTTATATCTTTCTCTGTAAAAAAATTAATTCTTGCACAAGAGAGTGTTCACATGAGGCAAGCATGATACAGTGCTTAGGAATGCAATTGGGTTTTAAGATTCCTACTCAGTATATTTATTTTCCAAAATCTTTGTGTGATTCCAGCTGCCCTTTTTTAAACAAATGAAGCACTAAGTTGGTTTTATCTTTAGTTCCAGACTAAGTCTCCCACTGCCTGATCATTTTCCCCATCATCTACTATGTACTGCTGTCCTAAGTGACAGCTAGGACAATTGAAAAATGATTCATAATTTGGTTTCCTTGTGTAGTAAAATAAGTGTAATAAGTAAGAGCTT